TCTCTGTTTTTTTCAGAATACAGTAGCTTTAAAAAGCAAGTCTGATAATAGCTGTGTTTTGTGGAGAAGCTGAATGATGAAACTGTGATAGCTGGGGTTTTGGCTCTGAGACGTCACAGTGAGCAATCAGAGTCCAAAGAGGCTGCAGGAAAGCACTTTGATTTGCTGTTCAGTTTTCCCTTCTAACAGAAGGAGTTCATGAATAGAAATGTATTTCTCATTTTGGGTTAACAACTGTATCTCATCTTTGGTTTGGTGGCGACACGGCACCCCAGAGAGAATTGAGTCAGACAATGGGACTCATTTCCAGAATAACCTTATAGATATTTGGGCCAAAGATCATGGCATTGAGTGGGTATATCACATCCCCTACCATGCACCAGCTACCAAGAAGGGGAAAAATGACTGCTACTGCTGAACCCAGGACAAATGCTAGTTTTGTTTGCTAGACAATCAGACCTGTCTGTCAGCCACTTTTACCACCTGCAGCTCCTGAGATTACTAGTATAAAATAATTGTATTTCTCTGTGATCTATAACGCCCATTCTAGGGCAAGAAAAGAAAATCCTTTCCAATACGTACTGCTGTTACCTACTGGTGGGACCCTCGCCCATCAAGTTCCATTAGCTCAGAATCATTTCTCCCTTTTCTTGGATTCTTCTCATTAACACACCTAATGGATTTGGCAAATTATTGAATTTAATGTTTTCAGAGTGCTTGTAAAACAATAACACACTGTATCTTGGTGGCTGTAAAGATTTACTTATGCCTAAGACACCACTAACCTTGAAAGATTTAGCGACCCAGTCTCCTGATCATGCACAGTCTGGCCTTGGAAGTACAACAAAATAACTGAAGATGGATGAACATCTCATGTGAGTGAGTGAATATACTGTGTCTTTGCAGCTCATCTATCTGGTGGTGGTATGAATAATGAGAAATGTATAAGCTGAATGACATTTCTGTCCCTTTTCTCCTCTTCCTCCTCCTCTCCACACCTTGCTCTACCTTTTCCAGACCTCACAGCTGGGTGTATCTGCCCCTGCTGCAAGAAGAGGGAGGCAAGGCTGGCTGGGTATGGTCCTGCTCAGATTGTGTAGCATTTGCTTCCAGGATGCTCTGATTACTGGTGCCCTAGACATGAAATAAATCAAAGTCTCTTTAAGCTCATGCTTAATGAAAATTCCTTAGTGTCTTTCTGACACAGGGGAAAAGGCATCAAAAGAAAGTCACCATGATGGGTAGGTTAGGTGGATAGGGTGGGAAACAGTTTACAAGACTGTCCCCTCTTGCATACCCATGTGCAAGCAGAGCATGAGTGAGTATTAGAGCAGTAGAAGATGGAAGAACCATGTTGCTTGAAGGATGAAATCAGATTTTACTGGTACTTTTAAAACAGATGTAATTTAAAAGATCTCTTTTTGTGTTTAAAGCACTAAGGTGACAGTTGATGAAGCACCACCTGATAAGCCAGTTCCCAGCTACAGAAAGAAGTTAGTTCAGCTAATGAAGCCATATCTCTGAAATCAGCACAGCAGAGTGTGAAGTGCTGTAATTATCAGTGCCACTGTCAGCTCTGATGTGCTCTCTGGTGGTGAGATGTTCACTGCAGACAAGGGGACTGCAGTGGATGTGATGCAAGCAATCAGGTGAGAATATGAAGTGGACTACATGGATGCATACATTCATACACCTTGCTAAATGCATAATATTATGTATAAGATAATTACCTTCTGAAGAATCCTCTCTTAGTCTTCATCCATGTGATTTCAGCTCTGATGCTCCCCTTGTGTGTAGCATATCTCTGGCAGCATCTGTGTTTCTCTTGCGTGGGTGTCTTCACTCTGACCTGTTTAATCACCACAGAAGCTTCACATAGGGAAAACTGTAGTGCTTTCCAAATGGTGTCTCCTGTAACAGACAGGACCTTATAACTAAGATTGATTTGGCAAAGCTGAAATCATTCCAAAGAGAATTGTGTTGCATATGCAGGTGCTTAATAGTAGTTAAGGAAAATCTGAGTGAAAAGAAAATGCCCAGCCAGTAGTAAAAGTCCCACTCTGAGTATGCAAGCCTTCTGTCCCACCACAGGCACTGTAAATGCAGTGCTGAGAACAAAGTAGCATGTAAACCACCAGATAGATACACTCTTCAGGAGCCAGTGAGACCTGCATCTGGTGAAGAGGGTCAATAAATGCAAAAGTCCTGAAAGTCCTTCCTCCAATAGAGGCCTGGCAGGAGGAAGGCTTTTTTCCACTGAGCAGCATGACAGGGCAAGGGGGAGGAAGTTTTCTAGACTCCCAACAGCAGACCACAGGGGTTGCTACTTGTCCTCTGTAACCCCTTGTTTAGGGCTCCTCAGGGCCCTTTGGGCTAGTCTCTTGCTCACTGCACCTCCAAGGTACCATTCATGCCCTGGCTCTCCCTGGCTTTATTACCCAATGCAAGCTCAGAGTCTGATCCCTCACATTCCCCCTCTTCAGGAGACACGGACAGCTTGGCCTGTCTTCCTGTTGCTGCTTTGTGTACCTGTGACTTACCTTTGCCAGGCTGCAGACTAAGGAGACGGGCAGAAGGATGAGATGGGGGCAGAAGGAAGAGAAAGGCAGGAGAAGTTAAAGAGCAGAAAAATACAAGTAGGGCAGAATGCACAAGAAGGACTGAAGATGGCAAGAAGGGAAGAAAGCGGTGTAGGACAAAAGGAGAAGGGCAAAAAGAGGAGAAAATCAGCAGAAGGAAAGAAAAATGAGAAGGGTGGAAGAAAGAGATGTGGGTAGAAAATGGAGAGAAGGGCAGAAGATGGAGAGAATGGCAGAGGAAGGACACAAGGGCGGCAGAGGAAGGACACAAGGGCAGCAGAGGAAGGAGAGAAAGTGTGTGGCAAAAGAAATCAATAGTTCAATGTACCAACCTTTCCTTCCAGACCTAGTGCTAGACTTCATCACAAGTTCTCTAATGTAGATCCTTACATACGAGCTGTCAGTTGCACCATGAGAGCTGTAGGGGGTTCTCTTCTGCAATAACTTCAGCTTGATTGTTGTCTGCTCTCAAATTGTCTTCCAGAAAACAGAAAGATCTTCATGCTGTTCTGTAGAGAAAAGTCAGTTAAATGCATCAGAACTGAGTCTCATGGTTGGGGGGTTGTTCCTATTATAAAAAACAGAACATCTTTTAGTTTTGGTGACTCTTCACTACGAGTGACATCACCTAAGGAAATCCCTTGGGGTAAATCAAGAAAGAAAAAGGTTTGCCTCAGTAGTGAGCTCTGTGCTCGAGAGGGTGGGTTCCAGTTTTGGATTTATTTTTTTTTTTGCCATTTCTGTAAGTGTTAACCAAAGGAAATGGGAAATAATGCAGCATTATTTAACATACCCACAGCTGCCACAGCCTCATGGAATGGATTTTCTGCTCCTCAGAACTCCTTTGCCCCCAGTTTGAGTCTGACCCTGTCCAGTAAGGAAGCCCTTAGAAGGGCAGTGACAATGTGGCTGTTGAGCACTTTCATCCTGGCTGCTTGTTTGAGTTGTACTCCTGGGTCTGTGTGGCTGCTTGTGGCCAAGGGGACACGCTCTTAGCTCAGCTCCACACCTCTGACTTTTCTCTTTCTCTCACACAGGCAGCTCAGCAGGAGTCTTGCAGCAAAGCCCCATACCCATCACTAAGGCAGAACACAGAATGGTGCTCATCAGCTGCCACATCCCCCACTCTGAATTCAACACTGTGCGCATTCACTGGTACTGAGAGAGGCCCCACACAGCTTCCCAGCGCCTTGCTTACATGTCCTCCAGGTTCTTCCTCAAAAACCAGGCCGAAGAGGGCAAGTTCAGCATTGAGAAAGACCCCACCAAAGCCATTTGCATGCTAACAGTGAGCAAAGTGACTCCGCAAGATGCTGCGACCTCCTGCTGTACTAGTGGGGATACACTGCTGTAGGAAGCTATAGGGGCCTGCACAAAGACACACTCTGCTTTCTGAACTGGATCCTCAGTGTTTGACAACACACAGGAATATCCCCACCTACTTTCCCCATCAGCTTTGGATCCGACACCCTGTGCACGCAGCCAAATACCAAAGTTGCTTCTTAGCCAGCGCACGCTTTGCAGACACGCGCTACAGCCAGCACCAGCCAAGCTGTTATAGCACTTTAACAGCAAAAAGGGCATGGTCATAGGTCTGGCTGAATTGCCACTGTGTAGGTTTACAGGATGGCAGGTGAGGTTATCCAAAAGAAGAAAAAAATCTTCCCACTACCCTTCAAGCTACATCTTTAGAATGAAGATCCACTTACATCACTTGCACAGCAGAATAGTAGGAGAGAAGTGAAGAAAAGCTTGAAGTATGGTTCAAGACTGCAGGTGTAATAGACTCACTTTGCACTTCTCTGCTGGTAGAGAGTCTTGTTTTATTTTCTCCTTGGTTGCTGTTTGGAGTTGATCGAACCTTCACTTAAGTTAAACCAAGTCTCTGAATTCACTTGTGTGGGGCTTCTTGTCTTACACGGCAGCAAACCTGCAAAGCAAAGAGCACAGATATTTACACTTCCATTCTGCCAACAGAAAATTGTGTTTAACCTTTGCATAGCACCCAGCGTTTGGAGAGGCCACCCTGGGGTGCGGCATCTCACCTTCCCTGTGACAAGCTGCAGTTGCTGGTACAGCAGTACTACCACCAAGCTCCCAAGTGGCTGCTGGGTATTCTTCCTGGCCTTTGGCACTCAGGCTGTGTGATGAGCAGTAATTTGAGTCCCTTCAAATTCATCAAGCTCCGTTTTCCTATTTTTTCTCCCTTTTTACTGGTAGGGGACCTGAGAAAAAGTGTCTGACCCCAGGCATTGTTTAGCAGCTTCAAATAGTGCAAAAGCAGTGGTAAAATTACTTCAGATTACAAAATTACTTTGTAAACCAGTTACAGTAACTGTGTCTGTGTGCATGAGAGGGAGGAGGTGAGTTTGTGAAACCTGGGCACAAGCACTCATTAGGCTGTTAAAATTCAGCAGGGTTCAGTCAAGCGGCTTTACATCCACATCACCCGCCCACTGCCAGCGCTGCCTCTCCGGATGATGCCCAGATGAGTCATTTCCTCTCCTCGGTGCAGCCCCTCGTCCCTGCTGGGAGAGCTGTCAGCTTCCTCTTCCTCTGGGAGGCAGACGCTGATGAGAGCCCTCAGGATGCTGCTGCTCCCACTCCTGGCCCTGGCTGCAGCCTGGTCTCGTAGGTTCCCCTTGTCGCCACGGCACATGGCAGTGGTGAGAGGCACCCGTATTGATGCCTGTGAGCAAACAGCAGGCTAAGAGTGTTTGTTCTCTTTTCTCTCCTCCTTTCTAGATGGGCAAGCACAAGTGTTTCTGAGGCAGAGACAAGCATCCATTACCAGAGAGCCAACTAAAACTGCACAGATTGAGTGTGTATTCGAGGGCATGTCAGGGGCTGACTTCCAGACTCTCTATGTACATTGGTACCGGCATCTACCCTCCAGACCTCCCGAATGGATTCTGCGTATCCACACAGGTAAAATTCATTATGAGAATGATTCCTATAAGAACAAGTATTCCTCTTCGAAAAAAAGCCCGAACATCTGCACTTTCACCATCAATGACATCAACCCCAACGATGAAGGCACCTACTACTGTGCCTACTGGCAGAACCACAGAACTAGCAAACCTCAGGTAGCCTGTACACAAAGCTGTACCCCAAGTGGCAGGCTGTCAAGTGCAGAGAGCCACACCTGCACCTTCCTGCCTCTAAAGCATCCCAACAGGTTTATGCTGAGTATGTAAGTACAAATAAAGGACAAAGAGAAAAGCAAAGAAATGCAGCGTGCTACAGCTCAGCTGGCATCATGTTCTGTGCTGGGGAAAAGGAGCTCTCCTTAGGGTGATGGTACTACAGCTGAATTGTACAGTAACACAAATCAACTTTGCATAATACAGATACTTCCCTGAGGTACCAAAAATGTTACCAAAGCAGGCAGAGTATTCTAGGAAAGGCTTTGGGACAGCTTTAGAGTATTCAAGGGGAGAAGAACATCCTTGGGAAGAGCTGGGCTGAACAATTTAAGTTTTTATGTGTGTGCTCAGCAGGTAAGTCTGAGAGGAATGTACTGGATAGAATCATGTAGAAAGAAAATTATACATGAATTTTTCATGAAGAAAGCTTATTTTAGATGAAATTTTTTAAGGTCCTTTCTACACTGTTACTGCTGTGGTTTAATTTGCCAGTAAATTCAACCGCCTCTATAGCAGCGAGTTGAAGAACAAACATTGGATGTGCTGAATGAGTCATTTCCTCCTCCCAGCTGTTCGATGCTTTCTCCACTTGAAGGGCTTTAGAACCTTCTGTCTTTATTTCACTCCCAAGTTTAACCTGCTAAGGCAGCATGTTGCTGCTTCCACTCTTTCTTGCAGCTTCATTTTGGTCCCGTAAGCCCTTTATTCCTCTCCCCCATCCTTCCCATGCCTGGAGAACACTCTCCTGGCTCCAAACTCCAGAAGTTTCTTCCCCTCACACCATTTCTCTGTTTCTCCTTCCAGGTGGAGACACATGGACAGTGCCAGTGCAAACCCCAAAGCTCCAAACGCAGATGCAGGGCACATCCACCAGCATTTTGTGCCAATTGCAAGCTGAAATCACCATGCATTGGTACAAGCATCTTCCTGGACAGCCACCAACGAGGATACTGTATGCGTGGGGACAGACAGCTACTTTTGATGACAGTGGCGACAGGAGGAGATTTCAAGTTCAGATGCATCCTAAGTATCATTATACTCTCACGATAAATGATTTGACTCCAAGGGATGCTGGTACTTACTACTGTGCATATTGGTATTACGATACATCACAGCACTGCTGGGCAAAGATAAGCTGTACAAAAAGGTGCTTTGTGGTTTGAACTGCAAGCTCTGAACTCTGCAAAAAATACTTGCCTATTCCAGCCCTCTCTCCTGATTTTCTGCAGCAGGATATGCAAAGCAACAATAGCTTGTGACAACTGTTAAATATGTGATGTTAGCAATCAGTAAGTAAATCATTTCAGTACTCACACCTATTTGTAACATCCAGAAACTGGAGAGTTCCATCACTTTAGGGTAAATACAGGAAACATTGCTCTTAAAATGAAGGCTTGATTGTACTGAAAGCACTCACCTGACTATGCACATGGACTGTCTGTGTGTGTGAACAACTGTCGGCTGTAATTTTCTCTTCTCTATTAGAATCCTTGGAGCAAGCAGAGAAACAAATCTCCATCCCCTCATTGCTTTCTCTTCATAAAAGGATAGGAATAGAAATGAGACTGGGTGATCTTGCACATCCTACTTTGTTTTTTGTCTTGCTCTGCATTGCTGTCACTACAAAGCCCTACAAAGACTGACATTCAAGAATCTCATCCAAGCTCAAGAAGAGTTCAGCCTACCAGTTCTAGAAGCCATGTACAGACACAAGAGTAAAGAAGGTGATCAGGAGCAGTCAGCAGGGATTTAAGAAGGAGAAGTTATTTAGATAACTTTAGGTAATGAAGCTCTCTGAAAGGGGATGTTGGCCATTTAATACATGAGAAGTCCGTTTGGTGAAAATCTGAACCTGGAAAGGTGTTTTGTCCAAAATACTCTGGCCACTGCACATGTGGACATGTGTCCTCTTGGCATAGACACCATCAAGTCTGATCTGCAGTTATTCCTACTAGGAGACCTGCGGTGGTAGAAAGCTACAGTACAAAACCTACAAAGTGTCTGTAATTTAGACCTTTAATTTTGTGAGACCCACTCACCACCATATTCCTTTACTCTTGATCTGGTATCAGGTGCTAGACAGATTTCTGCTGTGTGATCAGAAGAAGAGCTACATAGTGCACAGTTTTTATACAGGTCCTGGTAGATTTTGGCAACAGGGTTTGATTTCATGTCCTCAACATACAATTGCCAATGCAGTTTTCACTCTGATTAACTACGGTTGCCCTCACAGCAGACTGACATGGGATGCTGCTGGGATGAGTGACCTTTCCCTGTACCTCCCTTCCCTCACCTTAAAGTCTGTATCATTGTTGTCTCTTCCTCTCCACTTTGTTGTGCCTGCCAGTCCTCAAATCATTTCTCCTCGTTGCCCTCAGGGTAGCCTGACAGAAAATGAAACAGACTTTCTCATGGTTATTTACTGGGAAGAGAGGGACCCTGTCACACAGGGAGGTGTCTCTCCCTAGATCCCTGTGCTCAAGAGCACCTTTCCAAGCCAGTTAGCAATACATGCTTATTGCTGCCTTCCTGCATGTGGGCAGCTGCCAGCAGGAGGGAGGCTGAAGCAGCTCCTCTCCCTCACAGCGATCACGGGGGAGCTCAGTGTGGCACCACCCCTGCTCCCCGAGATGCCCTGCGCAATGGCTGTTGCCAGCAGCCCTGCTTTTGTTTTCCAGCCTTCCTTTCTCAGAAATGTTTTCATCCCAACTGAGCTTTGAAACTGGCATCCTGCGGCTGCGCGTTTCCTCCTGCACCCACAACCAAAGTCCTGGCCCCAGGAGCAGCTGCCCTGGTCCCTGCAGGCTGACAGCTTCTGGCTGCTTCGGTGGAGGGCAGCACCAACATGGGGGCTCCCTGGCGCTTTGCCATCCCAAAGCTGGATGGCTAAGGTGGCTCAAGTCTTACAGGGCCACAGTCATCAGATTGACCAGCGTTTCTCAGATTTACCTGAAAAGCAGACAGGACGACAGCCTTCAAACCAATGTTACCATTCACCAGCCTGGGGAGGGTTGTTGGTAAACGTGCCCCATCCACTCGCACGCAGAAGACCTGTTGCTGAAGAGCGCTCAAGAGTCACCTCCTCCTCCTACAGAAGACGGTCCCCATCTGGGCTCCCTTTCGTCCTCCTCTGACTCTCAACAACAGCAGAGCCTGACAAGCAAACATGCTGCTGCTGGCAGCACTTGTGGCCACAGCCTCCTGGTCTTGTAAGTCCTTCTTCATTCCCTTATCTTTCCTCATAGGTACCCATGGCTGTGCTAACAGGCATCTTCCCCACACCTCTGAATTCCAGCTAATGGCATCATTTCTCCTCTCTTTCCTAGATGGATTTGCACAAATATATCCTGTGCAGAGCCCTATATCCGTTACCAAATCCCAAAGAAGTGCAAGAATGACATGTGAAATCAAAATTTCGCAGGAAATGTTTGAAAGCTTATCCATACACTGGTATCGACAGAAAGAGGGTAGAGCTCCAGAGAGGGTCCTGCACTTCTCAGAAGGGAAACTTGTAGTTGAAACTGGCTTTCTAGCAAAAAGGTACATGGTTGAAAAAGTTTCTAGGCAGAAACGATATATTCTTACAATTAAAGATGTGATTCCAGATGACGCCGCTACTTACTACTGCGCTTACTGGGACGCTCACCATGACAGAAACTCAAAGATCATCACAGCAAAAAGCCCTCAACAGCTGAAGTACAGGTGTCACGAAATGAGGGGTTTATGGTTGCTCAAAGAATCACCATCAAAGGTATCAGCAAAAGCAGTTCTACTGTGCATTTATAAAGTGTGACTTCACAGTCTGATGGCAAGGTTCACTCAATTACTTGCCTCATGGCTGAAACGTGCAAAGGAAGATTGAGGTAAAAGCAAGCTGAAAGGATTAATACGAGACCAAAGGCACAAAAGGGTAAGGGAGACAATAGGACTGACAGCATTTCCTATATCAATTTATACTCACACGCACACACATGGATATATAAAGGTGCCTGTTAACAAGTCCCCTGGGGCTCAGGGAAATGTTCCTGTCAGATGTCTTGGCATTTCTCAGCAGGTGAGGGCTGAGCCTCGAGGAGGCCCAGATCCCACCAACAGCTTTCAGTGGTGGTCCTTCAGGTATCACAAACTGAATTTGTGAGCCCCAAGGGGCGTTCCATTCGCTGCTGCAGTCCAGGAGAACTCAAAGGAACTCACTTGGGACCACTGTTTATAGGGTGGAAGGATCTGAATTAGTCATTAGCAAATATCCATCGTTACCAGTAAGTAATAACTAGGAAGTTTTCAAAACTCCAGTTGTACTGTTCCACTCAGGCTGTGGTCAAGGGAAGGAGCGTTCCAGGGCTGTCAGGGAATGGCTGACTACCCCTGCCCTTGCTTCTCACCTTCGCCAGACAACAGGACTCCCTGCTACAATCAGCACCTCCCTCCTTAGTCATGCAGTGTTCCTGGTATGGACAAGGGATGCTTCACTACCTGACTCATTACACAAAGACCAAGGCCTGACAGGCATTCCTGAGATCATGGAGCAGCCCAGATGATGAGGTGCTACACCTGGTCTTCTCACTCCATCTGATATGAGCTGCTGAAAGGCCAAATCTTTTTCTGCTACCCAAAAGGAGCAGCTAAGCCCCCACAGCTGTCCTTTCCAAAGTCTGGGTTGTCACGTGCACCCTGATCTTCAGACACACATCTGCTATCTTAAGGGCAAAGGAAGTGTTCAGTGCCTTAAGATTTAGTACATAAATACTAGAAACTAACCTGCTTCTCTGGTGCTGTTTGCACAGCCATGGCAGAAGCCTGGTGGCTCTTGAGGAGAGCAAACATTGCACTGATTTCCTAGTGCAGCCACTGTTCTCTCCTAGGAAATAGAAGTCATTAAAAGAAAGGTAACATGCCTAAGAATTGTACCTTGGTTTTGGGAATTATATGCTTGCTACCACCTAGCACTGCCAAGCACTCACTTCTATTGGCATGGATAAGCCGTCTGGCCTCAAGCATGGGCACTGGTGAAGCAGGGTATGCTCAGTGCCCACTGGTGCCTTGGAATCATCAGCTGCCAAAAGCCAGAGGTTTTGACTGAGCAAGTGCGTAGTGCAAAGGGAACAGTGAAGGTCCCATACCTTACCCTTCCTCTCCATTCCAGGTGCTCCTTTCTGCTCAAGTATGTCATCAAGTTCATTTGCAAGGTTGTAAGGACCTATTTAGTGGAAAGGGAGCATGTTTCCATGTTGTTGTTCCTGGAACTAGGTCAGTATGTGGTACAGGAGGTCTTCAAAGTCTTTACCCTGGCAAAGAAAATTGAAATAGACAGCTTTGGCCTGAAGGTTCATAAGATTTTAAGTAAAGGAAAAGGAGTGTTATTTTTAGTTAAAACTTAGTTGTCAGAGGAGGAAGATTTTCTATTTATTCCTCCTGAGATGTGGAGGTGAGCATTTTTGTTCTTGTTTTGTTTTGAGCTAAATCATTCCCTTTTCCCATCTTCTTGCTTATCACTGTTCATATTTCACTAGCACTGCATCTGAATCACCCAACAAGTTGCAGACAGTTACCAAAAGTAGTACTAAAGAACTTTCCATAGTTAAGAACAACTTTTCATACTTATGGCTCATATGCAATGCATTCCTCCTAGCAACTGCCTCAAGGTCCATACTGACCCTAATGCCTGAGAAATTAATCCACAAAGGTTTTCCTCTACCATCAAGCCTCTCCCTTAATATTTTCCTTTACTGTGGTACCCTGATACTCTCCTCACTTGGTTCATTGAAGTGTAACTCATTAAAGAGTATTGGTCTGATGGGATGAAAAAATGCCACAATTTCAAACATGTATTAGATTTCCAAATGGCTATAAGGTTAGCGTTGTCCTCCTCATACATGCAAGCCCAGGTCATATAGGCGAGTTAGAAAAGCTGTCTGCAATATGTAGTGTTTTGCTACTTTTCTTCTAATGAGACCTCCCTAATACTCACTGTCATGAATATAACCCAACAGTCCCACCAGCTGCAGGTGAGATGGTCTAAGCACATTGCAAAACACCATGGAAAGGAAGGAAAAGCGCTGGTTGTCACCAATCTCTGTCTACATCACTCCTGCCATTCCTTCGTGGTTGCAGAATAGGATGTTGCTGCCCAGGAGCTTTCAGAGTAGGTGAGTGCTTTTGCTATACATACACCCTCAGTCTTGCTCCTCCCTCTAACCACACTTCTTAACGTTGTTTTGCAGTCAGTACGCCACATGGGATCCCAGAAGAATTCAAACTCACAAACTAAGCACGCAGGCTCTTTGATCACCAGCAGTGGTGACTCCTCTGATGTTATCTTGGGCTCTTTTATAAAGAAACCTGTGCACAAAGGAAAAGCCTCCTTCTGCCACTGGCTAATATAAGAAAAGTTACCAGTGAGCAACCTGCAGCACATGGACACCTTGGTGAATCTTATGGTGCTGGATCTCCCTCCTTTCCCTCTGCTGAATTGTATTAAGACAACTGAAAATGAACTCCACGCTACTAGTACTTGATGTCACTTACTTGCAGGTGAAAAGATGTGTATCCCTTTGGGAAAGAGCAGGATCATCACCTGGAGGTATGTGTTTTAACATGCAGAACCCTGTGCACCGATTTGTGTGTCTAAAGTTGAAGAGGAATCTTCACCTAATGCTTAGGTGTTAAGGAGAAGGGTTATCTAACAGATCCGCAACAGTTTAAGAAAGATATTTGCTCCAAAGGGAATTAGACACCAGCCTGATCACCAGGTGTAAGTAAGTCTGAAATTCCTGACATCCTCCCAGCAGACAAAGGCCAAGGCTTCACACAATCTCCTGGAACTTATTGGGAAATAAATGGGATTTTCTTCAGCAATGGCACAGCGAGAGAGCACCTTAGATTATTGCAAAGCCAAAACACAGTGTGGAGCACCTGGACGAAATACTTTGGTATGGGAACCACACTAATCGTCTCTAGTAAGTACCATTACTATTGATCTGATTTTCACAGATGCATTCAGGTTCTCAGATAATTAAGCATGAAAGACAGTAGAAAAACTAATTTCTGCCTGATAAATCAGGTTTCATTTGTGAACTGTGCATGGTGCCCCAGTTGGGTGGGTTGATGGGCAATAAATACTTTGACCTCTTGAATAGAGAGATCACCTCTAGAACAATTACTGAATACTTGGTTAAGGATGGGGAATGGAAAAACAGTAAGGAAAAAGTAAATATTGGGATGCATGCATTCATTCCTTTTCTGGGAAAAAAAAAGTGAACTGCTTTACTCTTGGAACAGCAAGTGAGAAATGTTTCTTATTGATAGAAGTCATTCAGTCTAAGTTGACTGGGAAGGAAAAACACCTGGAATGTCAGAAATACCTAATTCCTGGCCCTACTGAACACAACTGCTTTACTTTTGCATTTGTATTACACTCTTGTGGTGAAGCTATGCAATCAATAGGGTAAATGCTGTTTTCAGTATAAAGCATATAGCAGCGCCTACAGTATGCTGCTCAGAAAGTAGCTGATATTATCAACATGACTATAACTAAGCCATGTCATAAAAAGCAGGAGAGAGTTACAGAGAAGCTTAAAATGTTATCCATGCCTCTGACCAAAAATGTTCTCTGCTGCAATTTCCAACTAAACTGTCCCCACGGAGAGGCAGCTGCTTTTGCTAAGACAACAGAGTAACCACATAGAAAAAGCATGAACTTAGTTATGAGCATCAGTAAGCTTTGTTTAGAATATGGAATCTGCATTTAAAATATGGGCTTCAAAATATGCGTTTGATGAAAATTTAGTTAAGGTACTTTCACACAATATGTAATTCAAAAAATAGGACACTTAGGGAAAAAAAATGCTTACCTGTATATTTAAATCAACAAGTAGTACACTTCCTTAATTTCCTTTGGGAGTCACAATGTGGCCACATTTCTTCTTAAAACAGCAAAAAGAGGTTTCTTCACAGAAAACCTAGCAGGCCGGAGACAAGAGCTCTTTCTTAGAGCAACCCCGGAGCCCAAAAGGATTAGAACATGGTGATAAAATAAGCACCCACTACAAAAAATCAAAGGATTTCTAAAAATGGCACTCTAGTCGATGTTGAAAATTAAGCTATCATTGCACTGGGCCAAATCTATCACCAACCTCTAAATCAGAGAGACATTTTCTGTAGCCAGTGCAAGGGAAGTGCAGAGCAGGAGATATTGCTAAGCACTGTAAGACTGTGGGATGCCGATATCAAAATATTTGGAAGTGGAACTAAACTTATTGTTTCAAGTAAGTACAAAAAATGAAAATTAACTGCTTCTGAAATGCTTTTCAGTACAGTTAGACACTGACTGTATGAAGTGCTTTGCTTTTTCAGCTCCTGCTAGTTTTAACCCTACTGAATGCTTTGCAGGGTTTTCCTCTTGAACAGCATTTCCACATGCAAAACACAACATAATGGTTTTCTATTCATGTATAGAACGGGTGAAACACAATAGCTATTGCAGCACAGATATGTAATTAACCCCATCATTATTTTCTTTTTAAAGCTTAAATATGGCAAAGACAGCATTCAGAGAACTGAAAGATGGTTTTGTGTTTAAACATGCATATTCAAACTTTGTGAGATTTCTAATTCATTCTGACGGAAAAGTGCCAAACCTTTGGGTTACTCAAATTCTTTGAAAAGCAAAACATTTTCCTTTAGGACTGTCTCTCTTCTCCCCAGCTTTACTGAAGGATTAAGCAGGGAATTAAGCAGCTCTGAATTAAGCAGAAAAGAAGAAAACCCTTCCCAATACAGATACAAAGAGCAATACACAATGGCTATTGCCAAAATCCTCATTCCTTTAGGCTAGTAAAAGTGAAATAACTTGTTTGTAATTATTTTTGTCATGTCCACAGCACTTTGGCTCTTCTTATTCCTTAAAAACGTGCACATGAAGAGGTGGTCCTTTTTTATGCCCTTCCAGTAGACTCTTATTTTAATGGGAAGTGGAGGACAAGAATCTTTTTCCCATTAAATGTGCTTTAAATGCCATAATCCTGGAATAAACAACTGCACAACCACAAAGCAGAAAAACTATTGCTACCAAATGTTTCAAGCCTGGTTAGATACATATATAAATTTATATTAGCATGTCAAGAAAAGATTGGTTTTAATGATTTATGTCAGAAAGACTAAGTAAATCATAACTATAATTCAACAGAAATACCTGTATCAGGATAAGCGTTTTTAGTGAAAATCCTCACCTTGTTAACCAGGTAGTTGCCATGCTTTTAGTAGCTACAGTTTAAAGTAATTTTAACTCCAGTTCTATCGGATTTTGTCTTTATATGGCCGAAACTTCTGGCCAATTAATAGGCTGTAGTTACACACTTAAGATCAGGCATTTCATCACAGCTTGGCTTTTCAGGGGTGACCATCCAACATTAAGTTACTCCTAAAGGAAAGAAATTGAGAAAACGAGGATTTAGGATAAGTGACCTTAATTCAGTTGAACCACCAGATTTTAAGCTTGAGCAGAATCTTTAACGTATCTATACGGAAAGAGCTAAGCTCCCATCAACTTGTAGTGAACTTGATTTTGTTCTTGTTGGTCTCCTTTAATTAGTTCTGATCAAAACAAAGTTGCTCCAGACGAGATAATGCAGTTAACAGAAGGGCTAGGATTTGAGAGACAGGTTTAGCATTTGCATTTGGTGGAATAGATGAGGGTTTTGAAGCTTATAGCAGAACAGAAATATCAATTAAGAACATAAACTGGCAAAATACAGGATTCTTCTGTAAGTATCTTCCTAGGGAATTTCATAGAATCATAGAATAGTTAGGGTTGGAAAGGACCTTAAGATCATACAGTTCTAAGCCCCCTGCCATGGGCAGGGACACCTCACACTAAACCATGTCACCGCTTTGTCCAGTGCTTTACTGTGCTATCATACTGTGCTTTATACTGAAAACAGCATTTATCCTGATGATTGCATAGCTTCGACACAAGAGTAATACAAATGCAAATGTAAAGCTTTGTCCAACCTGACCTTGAACACCGCCAGGGATGGAGCATTCACAACTTCCCTGGGCAACCCATTCCAGTGCCTCACCACCCTAACAGGAAAGAATTTCTTCCTTATATCCAATCTAAACTTCCCCTGTTTAAGTTTGAACCTGTTACTCCTTGTCCTGTCACTACAGTCCCTCCCCAGCATCCCTATAGGCCCCCTTCAGATACTGGAAGGCTGCTCTGAGGTATCCACGCAGCCTTCTCTTCTCCAGGCTGAACAGCCCCAACTTCCTCAGCCTGTCTTCATACAGGAGGTGCTCCAGTCCCCTGATCATCCTCGTGGCCCTTCTCTGGACTTGTTCCAACAGTTCCATGTCCTTTTTATGTTGAGGACACCAGAACTGCACACAATACTCCAGGTGAGGTCTCACAAGAGCAGAGCAGAGGGGCAGGATCACCTCCTTCAACCTGCTGGTCACGCTCCTTTTGATGCAGCCCAGGATACGGTTGGCTTTCTGGGCTGCGAGCGCACACTGAAGCCTGCTCATGTTCATTTTCTCATCGACCAACACCCCCAAGTCCTTCTCTGCAGGGCTGCTCTGAATCTCTTCTCTGCCCAATTTAGGCACCCACCAGGTTGCAACAGGCAAGCTGAGACTGAACTGACAACTGAATCAGGCTCTCCAAACCCAGCTCATCTCCTAAGCATTACTGAAGTATCTACCTTAATTTCATCAAATGTATTGAAGTTCAGAATTCAAGAGGCTATAATTATCTTTTTGTAATTATATTATTATAAAAATACGTTCCCTAAAATAGATTTTATTTAAATTTATTTATACATTACCTGAAGTTGGATTAAACTGACTTCCTATTGTTTTAAATCAAAATGATGAAGTTTAATCAATGCATTAGTTTGCATTAGTGTTTTTTTTCAACTGGAAAAAAACATGAAGCCCTGAATTAAAACCTAATAGACTTGAAAGTCCAAACAAGTGTTAGGGCAGAAGGATGGAGGTTTAAGACATAAAAGGGAAGATGTGGCCACTCAAAAGAAATCTGCAGAGTGAAAGCTTCTTACCATGATTAATATTAATAAGAACATTTTCTAATGGCTTTAAAATATCAAGGATTTCATGGGCACGAAGATGAATTCAGTAGCTGATTCTTATAAGGCAGTGTGCACAATCAGGTTTCAGTGGAAAATTTCAGGGGAAAACCTGAACCTTTGGAAATGTTGCCATTAGTTTCAGCAGGATTTCATGTAAGGTGCACATAGTTTTCACTGGGGAGAAGGTAGAAGGCTCTGGGGAAAGACATGCACAGGAATGATGGAAGTTGATGATTCTCTACAGTATACATAGATGCACCTGTAATGTTTCCTTTTGGCACTAACTGCAATAGTACAGTGTAGGCAAGTACAGCAGGATTTGAGGCTGAATAGTCCCAATCCTGCATCCACTTAAACCTGAAGGAAACATGCTTTCTCAATCATTGCCCCAGGCAACAACACTCAGCTTGTTTTGATGTTCTTTTAAACAAATGATGGCACAGACTTGCTTGAAACTGAATTTAAAGTACATATCACTAAAGGCTCTTTGGGAATAGCAGCATTAGCTGAGACTGAATTCTATTTTTCTACAGTAATGTAGCCAAATGAATAAATTCTTAATATTCATATTATGGTTCTTAAATCTGGTCCTTGTCCAACCTAAATGTCCCAAGCAGTTTTTGTAAGAGGGTGTACCAGTGTGGCGTAATCAAATCATTTGGCTCTGGAACAAAACTCATCATCTCCAGTAAGTATTTTCAAGGACTTATTTTTTAAGTTTTGTCTTGGGAAAGCTTAGGAGAGAAGGTTGACAGCTCTTTAAAGTATCTGGAGAAGGTCCCATTAGGTCAGGACTCATTATGTTATTATCAACAATAATACCCGAAGTTGCTGGCAAGCAAGACAAGAACGCTGTTTGTAATCTGAGTGTGCTGCGTGCTCTCGGCTCCCACTGGCTTGAAGGGGAACAGTGGAGCTTTAAGTATCAGTCAAAAATTAGTCAGTTTTGTGGATTATTCAAGTACTGAAAAGTTCAGCTTAAGAACACACTGACCTTATTTATAAATCTTATTCATAGGTGCTTATGGAGAAACTGTAGAGGAGTTTTATTGAGAAAACTTCATAACTGAGCTACAAAAAGCATATGTTTTGAACCCAAATTCATTAATAGCTCATTGATTACAAACCTAACTGCAGAATTTTCTTTGCACTATGTTTTGCAGACTTACTGCATTCTTACAATAGAGAATAAACAGATTTTAGCTTGAGAAATATCTAATGTGTGTGTATATATTATTTTAAAATAATAAAAGAGCTATATACCTCTTAACACCTGCCTTAGAAAACTGTTTAAAAACTAAACTGCAAATTTCTTGGAAGTTTAACTAAAGCAATGGAAAATGGTGGAGCAGAAATTCATGACTTTAAAATTCTTCAGAAAGAGTCAGACTATTTGCCCAGAATAAAACTACAATAGTGTAAACTGTCTTGTGGACTTCGCAGTTTTATAGATCAACCTGAAAATACGTCAAAGTCTACAGCCAATTCTACAAGGTTTCATTCTTTTTTTCCCATAAACATACCTAAAGTTTACGGAGATTTTCTTTCCACATACACACACATATATACATGTATATATGCAAAACTTAATTTATCCAGTTCTCCGCTGTCTTCTATTTGCCTGTGTGTGTACATGGGACTCTTCCATGCATACACACAGTTGCAGTTATTCAAGACATATGCCTCCTCAGGACTGTGATATGATTGAAATGTTTCATTTAAGCTAGGCACCTTTTTACCATACTTTTTAATCTACTCTAGTATTAAAGAGTAGATCTAGTCTATTGCAGTCTTCCTCTACCAGATGTGCTGCTTGACAAGAAGCATGAACAAAGCAGTCTAGACATTGGCGTTCACTAAATAATTTAGGACTTAAATGTACATGGCACATATCAAAACTCTCCAGATCAAATACCCCTCAGACTCTGTAAGACTCTAGATTATCTAAATAAATATGAGCTTAGACTGAGTCTTGGTTTTGGAGTTTAATTTTCTGTACCATACTCATGAAAGCTGCTATCCATTTTAATTCTCTATAAAATAACTCATTTAAAAATAAGGCTAAAAGTCATACTTTCTATTTCCAATTATTCTAAATAGTACTGTAACTGGCTTTGACTGAAAATTAAAACTTACCATTTGGGTCTACTGAAATAATATATACTATAAACTGTGTTCAAATGCCAGGTTCCTTCAGCTCACCAAACACTTTTTTACTTCAAGGACGGAAGGAGCTGTAATTCACCCATCTTATTACCTAAAACTCCTTTCATACATAAGACTTTTCTATTCCCATCCTAAGTATTTAATAACAAATTAGGGAGCCAGAACATTTGTCAAGAAGACTTTTAGGTTGCTGCTCTTTAAAAACTGTATTTTGCGGTGGCATATTTGTTTACTGTACTCTACTGATCTTCTAACTCTCTGTTCCTCCACTAACCAACCCAGGCAAAGGAAATTCTCCACCAGCAAACTCTGAAATCCTGAAGAAGGAACATGAAAATCAGATAACATATGTTTGCCTTGTTGAGAAATTCTACCCAGAAGTTATTCGGGTGACATGGACCAATGAAAAAAATGAGGAGGTAACAGACAATGTAGTAAAAGGAGACACTTGGAAGGCCACAAAAAATGAGGAATACTCAATTGGCAGCTGGCTAACTGTACCACTGGAGAACAAAGACAAAAAATACTACTGCAAATACGAGCACGAAAGCCAAGAGCTTTCACTGCCGACACAAGGTATATGCTAAAATGTCAAAAGTTATATACTAAATGTTATATGTTAAAGCTAGATACTAAAATGTTATGTCAAAAGTTTCATTGTATATATTATTATAGAGATCACTTTTTCTTTGCAATAAAATTATAGAAGTAATGCTTTCTATTACTGTTCCTGAAAGCATCTGTGCTCATTTGCACAGCAATCATTAAAATACACGTTTTCCCAGGGAAAGCAACCCAGCCTGTGCTATGCTTCCCAATGGAATGTCCCCCTGCAATAGGAAAAGAGAAGCTCTTGAACCTCATCAAGTGAAAACTAGATTAGCTCCAAAAGCTCTGCACTGAGCTGTGTCAGTTACTTCCCTGTCTACAGAAGTCTTTGAAAACCTCTCTGTTCAACCCATGACTGAGAGGTGTAAGTCCCTCTGACACCCCGTGACATTAGCCACAGCTATAAAAAACATAAGAGTTAAAACCAAGGTTGCTGGGGATGTAGAACGAAGTTTAAATGTTTTACTTATTCAATGCCCAGAAATGGCGATGTTATAGCCATGTCCGAAAATAAGATGTCTCATTTAACTGAGGAAAGATTATGCAAAGCAGAATCTGAAAGACAATGCTAGTTTAAAGAAAAAAGTAACCTGTAATCAATGCAAATTGTATAAATCATGGGAATATCTTTTTAAAAGCTGCCTATATTGGTTTAAATTAATCTTTTCTCAATACCTACCTTTGTTCAATTTCCTATAAATTAATGTAACTCCAGTAAGTGAGAACATGGCCATAGTAATGGTCAAAACATATTCTGACAAAAAAATGCTTTATTTAGACGGAGGATGTATTTACAGATGTAATACAGATGCCTTTAAGACCATATATCAATGCATACGAACACCATAACCAAGAACAAACACAGATTTGCTGCTTTGAGCACAGAAAAGGTTTATTTTTGAGAACAAGCACCACCAAAATAGCAAATTCCCAATAAGGGAACCTCAGATCATGCTCTCCTCAAGATTATTCCTTACTGTAGAGCAGCCATTAAGTAACAGACTAATTGAGGTCCCTTCCAATGTAAATTATTCTGCATTTGTAATAATAGTACATTGTGAAGGCAGACTCTAGCCACTTCAGTGACAAGATCAGGTGGATTCAGTTCTAAAGAGACTCTGCAAAGGAACAGCTTAAGGGACACATTCCTGAAATGGCAAACTTTCCACATATGGTAACAAATACCCAAGTCACTTCTCTACGCATATTACCTTCCCTTCAGATTCTCAGTGCATGTGAATCCTACTCAGGAACATCTGCTCTGCAGACAGATATTAACCATCTCTTTTGCTGTTTAAAACTTCCAATTTCACTGTTAATATGTTACTGCCTCTTTTTTTCCCTATTTCTCAAATTCATGTTTGTCAAAAGTAAAGAAAAGCCTAATTGTGGCATTTAAAATCTCTTTCCACAGAGAAAGATATAGACTTCTCTTCAAAGACTGCTCCTCAGGAAGAGGACTGCAACACATCTGGAAACAGCACAGTTTTTAATAGAGGTAACTAAAATGTGTTAAAACATGGGAAAGCGACCCATGGCACAGAAGTCAGACAGTGCTGTATTTGCTCAGAACCTCACAAAAAGGATCTTTCTAAATAGCATACAGGAAATCTTTTAAGTCTGGGGTTTGCAACATACATAAAAACACTTCAGTGCTACTCTGAAGTAACTTCTGTTGTGGATTACAAGAATGGGCTCTCCTACTTTTATTAGGTAGCTTTATTAGGATGCAAAGATGCTGTTCGGCTACTAGATTATTAGCCCACATTATGTGTCACTTTTTTTAATATCTATCTGAAGCAGTTAAAAGTTCGATGCTTCAGCTGATGCTTCATCAGCCCAGCAACTGCCCAACACTTTGGACTTTAGCTTAAACAGGGTTTCAGAAAGAATTGTTAGTCCTTGTGTTCAAAAAATCCAAGACAGCAGGATTCAAGCAAACACAGTGCTACCAGTAATCAGTGCTGGAAGCACTAGAATTATGTTCTTGTATTTGCAGGGAATAATAACCCAGCAGCATTGAGAGGAAGTCTAGTGATAAGAAACCCGCTCAGTCTAGAGCTTATTAGTGCAAATCTGCTCAAAGGACAGTCAGACAATTTTATGTGTTCTCACACTGTCCACTGGAATCAACATAATTGCAGCAGTAAACTGACCACAGTCCCAGGTCTACCCATCTTTTAGGAGGTTGTACAATATTGACATTAAACAAGACTTTCCTGTCTTATGTTTATTACAGATCACATTATACACAGAACAGCATATTTAGTGTACATCGTCCTTCTTCTGAAGAGCTCCATGTACTATCTCATCGTACTCTTCTTCATCTACAGAATGTGGGCTGTCACCAAGCACCAAGGAAAGAAAGCATAAATGCTTGTTTAGGAAAGGCTAACAAAAACATTTTCAATTTGCTTTGCTATATATTTATTCATGTAGACTCCCCTGCTCTCAGTGTAAGATTTAACAACAACAAAAATCCCCACATAATCTTATGGCATTAGTGCACAAGGCTTGCTTTCCTGCTTCTGGTTTTATATCAGTCTGGCTTTCCTAATCTTTGAGTCTTGAACTGAGGTGAGCAATAGGACTAAGGTTACATACCTAGTATTTCAATCCAAAGTCCATATTGCAAAATGGATGGTAATCCATAATGCAATAAGCAGGTAACTCATGTTAAAAGTAGTTATGAATACACAAGTTTAGAGGTGTAACCAGGCTTTTGGTATACAAAGCAGAGATGCATTTTGTTACTGAGCTTAAGGCTTAATTAAGGAGCATTCCTGTCTGTGAATTCACAGATGTTGTTCATTTTTACTTTCAATGACCTACTGCAACTCTCATGTATCCACCAAATCAGGACTTAAACGTTTTTCTGAAGCAATGTGTGCTTTCAGACTTAATTAAACACCATTTCAAAAAGTGAACACAGTAATTTTGACTGAAGAAGTTAGATGAGCATAAAGCAATTCTGAGGTGCACACATGCAGAAATGGGAGAAATCCACCAGGCCATACACCAGTCTGTGGCACAGACTGAAAACCTGAACACTGTTATTTTTAAAGAAAGAAAACAGCTGTAATGATCATGAACATCATCTTGTTTTAAGATACCTTTGTAAGTTGAGCAAACCCTTAAATCTCCAGCTTTGATAGATAATGTATTTTCACAATAGCAGAAAGATTCTCAGATGTTGGAATTTGAACTCTTCAGCTCCAAAGTTCCTCAAATCAGCTCTTTTCAAATTTCTGTGGAAAAAAATAGAAGTAGACACATTGGAATAAAACATTTGCTCAGTTTGGGGCAAAACACTGCCGTAAGTTTGGAGATAAGCGGCTGCAGCATTTACACTCACCGTAACGATGTAGAGGGCAATAAAAGCTTTCCTCTGGATGTATTTGTGAGGCTTGTGTTCCTTCTCCAGCGTTTCCACAACAGGTACCAATACGGCTAGAAAACTTGATTCGTTTCTCTGTTTGTATAAATTCCTCAGGAAATCAAAGAAAGAGCCTTAAACCCATCTGTTTTCTGCTTTTCAAGGTATTAAACAGGAACGCTCCTACACAGAACAATAAAAGCTAGCTCGTAACATCTTTTCTGTTGAAGGGCTAAGCTAAGCCAGGGGGAACTGCAGTGCTGTTACAACAGGAATTCTAGCACTCACACCATTGCAAGGGAAGAATGTAAGTCAGGTGCAGTTATAACAACCACAGCTATTTTACTAACAGTGTATCTTACAAGTTATTTTACAATCGGCATATTGAAGCCATACAACTAATTACTACCTTCAGTGTCACATTACTCTTCAATGCAAAAAAAGATGCGATGTTTACTCTTCAGTCAGACTCTCTGAAAAACAACGAATACCCCATGCTATTATTTCTTAAGGCTCTGTTCCAACCAAAGTGCAATAAAATAGGTACAAAGGTATTTTTGGAATGCAGTTACTGTAGATTTCAGTGGCATCATTGATATCACTGTCCTCATCTTTCCTATCTTCATCCCTGCCAGAGAAACACTTGATTGCATTAATGAACCAAGATCTCTTTCACTTAAAACGATCCCCAAATAAACTTGTGTCTCGTACATGAAACTGAAAGATGCTGTCCATACAGCGCAGAAAAAGAGAGAGAAAACAGCTTTTTGCACAAAACCCCCTGCCTACATGCAACCATGCTGAGCACAGCTATCACCTCACAGATTCTCAAGTACAGGTTGCAGGTTTTACGTCTGCAGCATCTTCCATGTCCCTGAAGTTTATTTATACAGATACATACTGTTCATACTAAGTTTTTAATTTTTATTTAGGCTGAATAAGAGAACAAGTGGGTGTTTAAGGCTTCTGGATGCTGGGGCATTTGTTTGCAGGAAGGTTTGATTATTTAGTGGAAAAACCCTGTAAGCTGAACCAGTCGCAACTGGTTCAGAGGAGGTGGGCTGCGATGAGAGCGGGTGATAAGCTGAGGACAGTTAGACCACAGCCGTCCTGCCTTTTACCACAGTATGCTTCTAAACCATTTCCTTCTAATGCAAATACAAAGTGACAAAAACCACATGCTTAAGTTACATGTCAATAACACAGGAAAACTCACTGTTTGCTACACATTTTGGTTTAACTGCATGCTTGTGATATGTATATGTAGGGACTATCTCTGCCATAAAAGCATGGGTTTTGCAAGATGTCTGCAGGTCTTGACACCATTAGTGCACCCCAAGAGTTTGATGTTATGTATCAAGTGTAAACTTCTTTTGTCAGGACTTCAACACTTGAAAGACATGTCTTCTGAATTACGTCTTACCACAACTGATTTTCAGTGATTTTAAGCTTCTACCAGACAGGGTATTACAGCTGCTCTACTCCTATTACAGAGCTGCAGAACTCATGCAAATACTATGAAAATAGTAACAGGCAATCTGGTGCTTCCAATAAAAAGAAGACAGAATGGGGTCAACTTTTGCCACGAAAGCAAAAAGGAGTAATCAGCACAAATTAATTTATATGTGGAAAGGGATTTGCAATGAACTCTTTATCTTGCTAGAATAATTTTGTGTCCTATACTGTACAACAGCTGACACGCTTGAGAATATTGACTTCTCAGCTATCGAAATAACCACAGGTGATATGGAAAACTACCTGGGGCTTCCTCTCACATATAGTTGTAAATAAGTAAGATTTGCATAGGAATTATAGCAGCTTGCCAACAGCTAACCTCTGTTGATACTAGGTAGCCACACTAAAAAATTTGAAAGAGATGCAAATAGGGAACTACTCAGCTTGAGATTTTGAAGCTGCTGCGGCACCAGCAATACTTGGAAAGTGCTGAAGAAATAAAATAATCTCAGACCAATAACTGGAAAATGAGTTCCTCTAAACCTAGATATTGACATATCTATGGAAAGAGACCAAATGGCAGCAAGTAATTGACAGATTTACCCAGTGAGTCCAAAAGAATCTTTAAATATAGTTCTACCACAGGTAAGTTTCTACTTCCTTATATTACCAGTCTCTTGATAAGGAGAACAACACATTCCAGTAATTGCCCAGTTTTTGGAAGGTTAACCTTAGGAACTACTGAATATATCTTGAACAAATATTTTCATACCACCTGTGAGGCAACCTAATACACATATGTCAAGAAGATACATTTCTGTGAGATATGACAGCACATGGGAACTGTTCCGTTTCTTTTCTAATGAATAAACTCTCCTGTCAGCAGCTCCACCACTTGCCATTGTGGCAAGCAAGCCACAGACTCTGTTGCCACAGATTCCAAATCCCAATACCTTCTCCCAGAGATTTTCTTTAACAGAAGTCAGGATGAATGAAGATGAGAACCAAGTCAACATTGAAAATGGGGAGGCTCAGAAGAAAAGGCCACCTACTGTTCACAATGAGCACTAGAAGATTTCAAATCAGAAGCTACAGCTTCTCAAGACGATTTCATTCCTCCCCCAGCTGGAGCTTTGCCATGTGTGGGAAAGTGAATGCACTGGGCAAGATAATCCTCTGAAGGATTAATGAGGTCATTCCCAAAAGTCATTCCATTTTTTGGGAATGACTTCATTAAATTAAGTCATTAAATGAAGTCATTCCCAAAATATGAGGAAATCATCTCTCATATTCAACCAAAACACACTACAAAAAGATACAGGTCTCTACTGTGACAGAGTGCTCAAAGGCTCTCAAAAGAAGTGTTAGGTGGTGACAGGGCAACATGCCCAGAGAGAGCTCCTGTGGGAGCCACTGCATTGCAGGATCAGTCATTTCAGGGATACTTTTCCTTTCCCTTTCCCTTACCTCTCCTTTCCTGGGATAGCCTAACTGCCAATCATTCTGAGACTCAAATGGTAAAATAACAATAGGAATAAACTGTCTCCAGGCTAGTTTGTACATGCCACTAGCAGAATGATTACTCAGCAACTGAGACTTCATGCCTAGTCCCTTTACCTTTAATATGAAGTTTCTAACCATTTTCACACAATCTAATGTAATTTTATTTCCCATACTCATAAAGGGTGGTTTAATCAACACTGTTTGCTTGACAACTGGGGCAGATGAGCAGAAAGAAAGGGCACAAGTTGTTACTGAGGCTCAAGCAGCAGCTCGCTGCTGTCATTCATGACCTGCATTCCTGAAACCCAAGTTTTTTCCCCTCCTTAGTGTCGACTGTGTCAAAACCAGACTTTAATCTGCAGTGAGTGCGCTGGCACAGTGCAGCATTATACTCTATTGTTCTGATGCTTCATTACCCCTAGACGGAGCTCTAAGTCATTTCTTATGCGGAGATAGTGCAAGGCTTCTTATTGTTTTGTCGAGTTTTAACTCCTCCTGAGACAGCTTATAACATCTCTCTTAAATATGCTCCAGTTCCTTGTAGGTATAGAGCATACCTGCTCACCTTCATTTAAGTTTGGAAAATAAATGCTAGCTCACTTGCCAACAGGGTAAACAACCTCTGTTTTGCACCAAGTGGTGCAAGTCCATTACAAGCCAGTAAGAGAGGCAATCAGGCTCAGTAAGCTATCTTTTCAGATGTTATTTACTAGAGCAACACCATGAGTAGAGAATATTATAAATGATGGTGGGAACTCTGGGTGCGACAGCTTTGAACAGGCCTCCCATCCACATGCAACATGCTGGACAGACCCTGTTAATAGAGATTCTTCCATTTTGGTTATTTGAGCTAGGATTTTCTTACAAGAAAACACCTATTCATAAAGGATGTTCAGAGAAAAACTTCTTCCTATATTTTTAGATAGAGGAAGTCACACAGGTGGCATAATTACTTCAAATCCTTGATCCACATGCAATTTACCATTCCCCAAGATATTAGAGATTGCATTAAGAACATAGGGGCTTCTCAAGCCTTAAGTACAAGGTGCAACAGAACAGACATGGTATGTTCAAGATCATTAACTCCTCAAATAGCATCTTCTGCAGGGTTCCCACTCCCAAACCACCAGGGACCTCCTGACAAAAAAATGCAACTATACCATTAACAAGCTCTTAATGAGGTGCATGCACACAGGGCAGCCAAGTTAAGGTTGCTCAGACCATATTCAGTCCAGCATCTCCCTCCTTTCCTTTATCTGCACCACATCCTGAAACATATCTTCAACACAGCGTTAGTGCATTTTTAAGCGCCTGTAGCTATTACGCGTCTCAGATTATTCATAGCATTTTTTTTCAGTGACTTTTCACAAGCTACACTGAGAATAAATTCTACAAATGTGACAGTGTACTGGAGAATGTTTTCTATATGTAACTTATACAAGTTTGATTGACAAGTGAGGCTGCCTTTCTTGCAACCTGTCTAGGATTTTACAAAGATGAGAAATAATGAACATTATTTGTCCCAGAAGAGTTCAAATAGAATCACCTCTGCTACAAAGTCACCTTATGCCTTACACACAAAAGCCATCTCCTTAAAAGCAAGTCACTCCTTGGACTAAGGAAAAAAAGAGAACCTTTTGCCTGTGTCCCTAGTATCAGATGCACAGATGTGACAGTATTTGTAGGAGACATTTTCACCCATCATGAACCGCCTCGGTGTTAAGAATGACAGGACACATCACTGATAATGAAAACATTTCTCCTTTATTTCAAGAGAGTCTTTTTCCTCCTGGAAAATTGGAGCTATCAGATAATACTCATCTGCAAACGCATCTCCTCTACGACTCCTGCAAAAATAATGCAGCAAAACTAAGTTTGGATTTTATTTCATCTTCCACTCCCTCCTCTATTTACAACAACAGTTCAACTCCCAACTACCACATTTGATCCTGCTCTGAACTGTTTTGTACTACTAATACCAGACCCTTCTTCAAAGGCCATCCTGGAACTTTCTGCCCCAAATACCTCCTGCTTTTTAAGACCATAGCACTTCACTGCATTAAGCCGAGAAGCAGGAGACACACGCACAGTTCCTGGGATCAAACTGCCTGCATTTCAGAGGTGGCCTTTCATGTGCTGAGTGAACACCTGCATCCCAATGCTCAGGCAGAAGCATGCCATGCAGTTAACACTCTGAAGACATTGACAAGAAGGCATGAAAGATTCCCCTGTTCAAAGAGACACCACCACAGTATAGTTTGGTTTTAAAGCAGTTTTTCACACAGTATCCAGCTTCGGTTACCTCTTTTGCTGACAAAACAAGTGGTTACATAAATGGGCACTGCACTATCAGGTTTCCAGCACCATTTCATGTGCATTTCTAAAGAGAAGCTAGCTTGAAACAGTCAAAAGAGAACAGAAATCGATCAGGACACAACCCTTTCCAAACTCCCCTTACCAACCAGCTTTGCCTTTGCTGTAGGATGCTCCACCTCTCTTTCATTCTGGAATGCCTGCTTGGGAGCTGCCAGACGCATCTCAAGCACAGATCTTATATACTCTCCCCATGCTCCCGTTCTGGCCACCGAGCTGCTCTTGCTGGACAGTTTATGGCGATGAGGCACCTGAAGGCCACCATCTGAATCCTCACCAACACTGCCCAACCTGTGGTCAGGTTTCAGATACACCCTCACCATGACAACTCAGCCAGCATCTGTGGCTTTCCCTGTAAAATCTTCCCCTTTGCTAGGCTTGGTCTGGAGGCTTCTTCAGCATCTCCCAGCTTTCTCTCCTGATACTGCAGTCTCCTTACTCCAGAACCTTTAACTTACAGCTTCTCTTAAGTCAGCCAATTGAATTCACTTGAGCATCTGCTCAACACTAGCTTCGGTTCTCTGCTCTCATTTTATTGAGAAATACTAGGATTTGGGTTTTCAACATTGCTCTTCTAGGCTGTCCCCAAGTCTAACTTCCTCCTGTTTGGAAAAGGCTCTTTATGAATGAGATATCTCTGGAAGGGCAAAGCCCTGAGAACACAAAGCATGAACCCTTATCTCTGAATAGCACTGCCCAATGGACATACTTTTGTGGAACACATCGCCAGATAGTCCACACTCTTCATTTGAAAAAACAGTTTCCAGCTCTGGCACTATGTTAACAAGGGAGTGTGGGAAGGGAAATCAACAACCAAATCAGAACAATGAGTCCTACTGAAAAGCAGATTAACAACCAAGAGATTTGCTTACTTTCTAAATCCATCAGCCAGACTAACTTTCTAAAAAGATTTGCAAGATCCAGTGTGTGGTCACCAAGGTAAGCTTGGGTGAATATAGTTTCTAGAAAGCATCTTGAAATAGGCTACAGTTTAGGTATTCACCTCACAGGAAAACATGAGTCCTAACAGCAGAACTCCAGGAATCTCGAGCAGCAGCTTACACTCATTGTCCAATTAAGACTTTTCAAATATTGGGCTTTGAAAAAGTATCTCATCATAAACACTAGCAGACCACAGAAAAGGAGATTTCTCTAGTCAGCTGTTCAGAAGATCAGGTCACTGGGAGGCAGGGATACAAAAGTCAGACCTTTCAACTTTCCCATTCTGCCAGGCATCTTCACTCAAAACTTTTTAGTCTTTGCCGATATTCAAGCTTACTCTTCACTACAGTTAGTACAACCACAGCTACCACAATACAAAAAACCCTCCATTCTTGTGTATTATCTCACCATTACTGCAAAGCAGTATTCATGATGCAGGTAGAGGCACACAGTCCTCCTTACTTCGGGAGGCAGCAATGCCCAACAGATTTCCTTACCACTCTCCGGGTCTGTTTCCTTTACAGCATCAGCACTGGCAGATTCACAGAAGTCCTCTGAAAAGCAGCCAGCTGGCTTACTGTCGTCTGCTGTGGCTTTCATCTCACTCTCAGGGAATTCTTCATATTCCACAATATGCTGTGGAACTCCCCTAGGGAGGGGAAAAACACATCGCTTTTAGGACAAGGAATTATTTCTGCTGTATTACATCTGCCTCCCCTGCCTTCACTGTAAGAAAACTGTAAGAGAAGTGACAAGACAAATTAATCAGAGCTACTTACACACAATGGTCCTGTCCAGTGACAACAGGAATCATTAGAGGCACTGGAGGAAACATTCTCGCATTCTGCCAACAAGAAAGGTTTCGGTGTAAGCAGCTGGAACAAGACTGGTGGTCCCCCAGAGAGCAAGGCTCCAGATTACTGGTAGCAGGACAGAAAAGAAACCCAAATTCCGCCACATTTAAAGCCAGCCCTTCTCTTTCCCTACACGGGTGAACTGTGTGGATGTCTGCAAGAAGAAAGCAATGGAGGGGAAAATGAAGAAAGCAGAAGCCTCCCTGGCAGAGAGCAGTAAAGTTCCAGACAAAGAAGGGAAGGTAGGATGCCCCCACATCACAACCCTCCTGACCTTTCTGGCCCAGCAACTGACTATATTAGTTTTCAAGCAGCTTCTGAAAATGGAAGCCCAAATAAGGCTGACACACTTCTCTAATGGAGGCACAGTGCAAACCATGTTGTTGCAGTTATTCTCAGCTCCACACATACCTGTTTTGCAATCGTGTTATGAGAAAATCAAACTTTGTGTAAATCAGGTGTCACAGACTGTTCTTCATGACCTGATTCTAACATCCTTTCCAGCCCTAACTATTCTATGACTCCATGATTCTGTGACTGTCCATTAAAAGAACTCTCCTTGCAGAAGCAAGAGAAGCAAAAAAAATGGAAGCTATTAATGACTAGAACCATGGGAAACCCAACAAGATATCTCCTGTGTAGCTGACTTGTCAGGAGCCACTGAAGTTCAGAAAGAGACCTCAGGTTTATCTGGAGACAATTCCGACACTCCCCATCACTGCAAAACAAAGACAGCATTCAAAATACCTCAGCGGATGCCCACATTTGCCATGACTGAAGCAGCATCTCTAAATAAAAGATCTCAAACTTCAGGCATTGATTCTCCCCCTTCAAACACAGAAAGGCATCTTTGGCTCGTCTCACTCTGAGCTTCTCCTCCTGCAAAGCCCGAGCTAGAGCTCTGTTGTTGGCTAGGATGCTCTTCAGTTGCACACTGTGGCTGCCTGGAAGAGAACCATCCATTGTCACACATTGGAAATCGACAGCAACCAGCACCAAACTGCTACATAGGCAACAGAAGCATCTTACTTGTGCCATTAGCACCTGCAGACAACGGCTCATAGGCTTTCCCCAGCCCTGTCCTTTCCATGTTTCTCTTTCTTACTCGCTCTTTCAAGCTGGCCTGACTCCTTCTATGCATCTTCCGCTCGGACATGGCCAGCTCCTACCTAAACAAACAACAGAGGCGAAGAGACCGCCCGCACCGGGCGCGGCACAGAGCTGCAGGCAGGCTGCGAACGCTGCCGGAGCCGCACGGGGGCGGGGTAGGCCCAGGATCCCCGGCCTGCCGCACGGCCTAGCCCAGAGCCCCGCCAGGCGGCTCTAACCGCCGTAACCACCGCTGGGCCCGCGCGGCAGGGCCTGAGGGGCTGCCACGGGGAGCGGGTGGTGTTAGTTCTGCTCGACCTGACTTAACTCCCCTGTATCGCTTTTTACTCTGTGTGTGTGTGTGTGTGTGTGCACGCAAATCAAGAGTATGCAGCTAGGGACTCCTGGTTTTCAGTGAGCAGCTCTTTTCCGACACACGGGACTCATGGTCTTGGTGGAGCGTGGCAGAGAAAGATGCTGTGATTTAGGAGCCCGCAAAAGACAAACGGGGAAACCACAGTTTCTCATTACCTTTCTGGTGCTGCTGTCTTTTCCCTGAACAAACACCAACTCTTTCAGTGCTGCCCCAACAACTGCCCATACAACAAACCAAGCCACCACAAGCTCGAGGGACCAAACAGTGCTGGGTGTTAAAAACTGTCCTCAATAAAAAAACCAAAACCTGGTATTATGCCATGTTACAACCACCCTTACACCCACTAATTCTGCACCTTTCTGTGGGCAGTAATTGGGCATAATGCTGCACACAAGAGGTACTAAAACCATCTCTGTCCCCTTGCAAGCATCTCTAAAATTATCTGATTAATATAATTACATTTCCCTATGGTAAGAGTTGTTGCAGAAAAAGATGAAAGGTTTGCAATTAATTCTTCCTAGGGCTGTTCCCTCTTAGTTCTTTCAATTGCCTTACAAGTCATACTGGATCACAGAATCCAGTAGTATCCAGTTAGTCTACATGTTGGCAATCTCTACGTTCTGGTTACTACAAATCTTAATCTTTAGAAAGGATGCACTGGTGCTCCAGACAAAGTTTTGCAGTAGGCTGGTAACTGAGTTAGGAACCCCTTATCTGATTGCCATGGTTTAGTATTGAAATCAGTTTTCCCTGTGCCATAAAACATCCCACTTCAACAGGATTGTGTAAGCAAAGTGAACTAGAAGGAGAGGCGCTCCCCGCTATTTGCCAAATGAGGCTTTAGCTGAGTTTTGCACATGAGAAAACTTTCCAAACCCCCGAAGTATCCCTTTATCTTCAGGATACACAACAATTAATCACTACCCTGACAGTTTCTTCTGAGCAAGTACACACCAGGAATCAGAAACTTAACAGCACAATGATCTACGTCATCACCAAACTACAACTGTCTCCCATTTCATGAGTAAGCCTATAGGGAGATTTGCTACTTACACAGAGGTTTCTCAATAAGGAAAGCATTTTATTTTCCAAGTCAAAGAGGTATCCTAAACCGAAAGAGACAGAAAGCTTTGGTGCCACACTGTTTAAGACCACGCTGTTTCTGGAAGGTAGCTCTGTTACAAGCAGGAGTACAAACCCTCTGCATCGCAATGGCTCTAGAATATGCCTTGCTTTGAGAAACAGGGAAACAGGAATTTGCAATAGGAAAGCATCTGATACAAATCTGAAAGAATGATTTCTCTTAGATCAAATGGTGGGCTCCTGCTGGCCTCAAGGGAAGTCCAACATGGGGGCAGTGCCACTTCAAATGCTCCACAACTGCCACCGCAGGTGCTGTTCATTTCCCACTTGTGATGTGCCAGCTTGAAGAGTGCAAGTTCTTAACACCAATTCACTGTCCAAAGAGCATAGGACAAAAACCATACTACCACAGACAAACCCACACCATTGCAGAAAGCACCTTCTTCCTTGTACTGCCTGCCCTTCTTCATGACAGCATTGTCAAAGAGTAACAGGCCAGGATAAGAGATCAGAAAAAGAAAGAAAAATCCCCAATGACAGTCTATTTCAAACCCAAAAGGAAAAAGAAGAGAAAGATCAGAATTTCCTATTCTGCACAGATTTATCTCTGTTTTTAAAGAAAACACAGAATGTCTGGTTTTGGTCAGTAAAGTGTCCATTTAATAAACTCCTTAGCCACATTTCCCACCCCTTCCTCCCACCCTCAAATTTCAATTCACACTTAAGCAGATGACATAATTTGATGGTGTACAACAAAAGTTTCAAAATCTGTACTCTTAATACTAAGAGTATCAGGGCCTAGTATTTGACAAAATTACCTAGAACTCAGATGTGCCCATGCAAAAAAAAAAGCAGATTTTTATATACACTCCCTATTATTTTCTTATAAATTTAAATATTTTACAAAAATGCATTTTCAAAATGTATAAAGTTTAGTGAATACCCCAGATGTATTTTAAAATAAAATGTTATCTGATTTCAAAGGTTATTTCAACAATGAAGTCTAAATTGCACCAGATAAAAGGCACTTGTGCTGTGTGATGTCTTGAGCAAATACACGTTAGTTTATAATACAGTGTTTTCTTGAATTCATGCAGTTGTCTCTGAGCATCAAGCATCATTAAAGCAGCCAAAAGAGATAGTGAGTAAACTGGATTCCACAGCTGTAAAACCATTTTCTATTGCAAAGTTGCACATAACAGCATTGTGCTCCAGCTCTGACTCTGGAATCAAACGCTACAGAAAAATTGCTGTCATTCACATGGGAATTCAAACTATATTTCATTCTCTCATAAGTTACAAAAAGAAGTATGCCATTTAATTATGAAACTAAAACACCAGTGAACAGCTCAGTGTTCAAATAATTTGTGCCAATGAAAGTCTGTATTTAAAAACAAGCTAGGGGCTAGTTATTCAAGGAGCAGTGCATCATATTTTCAATTTCCACTTCACTGTTGAGATAAAAGCGCAGTCCTATTCGCCTTCATCTTCTCCAGCCTTTTCATTAAGTGGCTATTGGTCATCTCCATCTCTTCTATCTTATCCAGTGCTGTTCTTAACTATAAAATGAAAGCAAAAGTTATTATCCCTTGAAGTTCACTTCGACATTTTGCTGTTCTTGAGCTTTGACAGAGGAAACAAACAGGAATACAAGTATTACATGCTTTGTAAGAGTACCATATAAGCTAAGACACAATACTCATTACTGCAGTCAGATGAACTGGAATTCAACTGCTAAAATACTAAATCAGGAAGCAATTGAAACATAAAACATGTACTAATTCCAAAAGAACCAGATGCCTGCAACTTCCTATCACGTGATATTTAAAGGTGAAATCCTCTCCTCCATTCTCACTTGCTCATGGATATATATTCCCATGGGTAGCAAGTATCATGATAGTCACACAGCAGCTCTTAAGCAGGCGTGATGAACAGCTCAGTCAAATACAGCTTCTTCCCAGCTCCCTGTGAGGTGCACAATGGAAACTTCCCAGTCTGGCACTTGACACAGGGAACATTCAGCTTTCCAGTAATTTTTATGTAAGGATTAGTATAAAACAGTAAAAGTTATCATATTTAGAAGAAAACACAAATTTAGAACCTTCTTTTCAAGATAGTACTGCACTGAATTGTAATTAGTATTACTTTTATATGCGTTGTCTTTTGAATGCAACACTGACAGACTTGACTGTCTCTTCAAAAAACACTTAAAAGCTGTAACCAAAGACTACAAACAACACAGAGCTTGGAAGCAAAAGACAGAGCAGTTCAAGACTGAAAGGAGCATGGAGTATACAGCTGAAAAGGAAATCGTCAGTTACCTCTCGCTGAAGCTTCCTCTTTTCAGCTTTGAGTTCATCTTCTACTTTTTCTGCATTTTCTGCTGCATTTTTATACCTTGTAACCTGTCCTTCAAGTCGTGCAATCTGCAGACCCAAACAAGGTAAAAGGAACAATTACTGAGGTGTTCCACCCCAAGCTCACCTGCCACCATCTGTTTTTAATTTTCTGAAAAGCCACCATAACACAAGGCAACCTGTGAATTACCCATACAATCACCCTCTGGGAAAAGGATGTTTGTGTTCGCATCAGCCGTAATTGCAAAGAACGTTTAAAAGAACTAATAAAACAGTAAAACAACTTGTGGGCAGAAATTTGGAATACCATTCACTGCCTGTCCCTCCCTGGTGAGGGTCACAAGAAACAGCAGAGAACACAACATAGCATAAGACACAGCTGGGAAGATAAAGAAGGCTGAGGAACTACACAGAGTGAAGAGTTGGAAAAAGAAAAGAAAAAATAATCAAGAGTTGGGGAATACAGGGGCTTAAAAACAAAAGCTGGAAAGTTGGAAAGCAGAGACCATATGAGAAGTTGGAGACTTATCAGGGGATGATGCAAGAGGTCTTAAAATCAAGCACAGAGTTCAGCAGTGACGAGAGGGCTTGAGACAAGTCCTGCTGCAATCTGCCAGTGTTAAAGCCCACTTCCTGGATTGTGCTTTTTTGCTACCCTCAAACCCATAGGACAGGCTACTAGCCTGCTGCTGTGCAGGACAGAACAACTGTGCATCTCTGATTCAAACTGCAATCATTTATAAGATTTTGAGATGACCTATAGAGATGCTGGACTTTTAATACCATGTTCTGAGTTACAATCACGAAGCGTAAATCAGTGAGAGTATGTATACCTATACTTACAAAAAGACTCCTGAATTTCAGAGAGTAAATTATATACCTTCCAAAGTCTATACACATTTTTTGCAAGTAATTAAGCTACATAAACTGATTTCCTTGAACTAGTAGCTTCCTCTTTATATTCTGCTGTACACTGACATCTGAGTAAATTCACTCCAGATTTTCTCTTATGGTTAGACTATGCACACGTATCGAAGGAATTATGGATAGAAATACAAATATAGCGGCATTATGCGCAAAGTAAAGAACAAGCAGTAAATCAAGTAAGGAAATACGTTTTCATAGTTTTGTTGAAAAAAGTATTGTGCAACTGTACAGAGCAAACGTAATGATAACAATAAATATTAAGACGCACTTACATTTTGTTCCAAGGTAGTAATATCTTGTTCAGCTTTTGAAAGCTTAAATTTGTATTCACTAATTTGTCTGTTGGCATCTCCTAGATAAAAATTGACAGGAATATATCACTTAAAGCAACTCGATAAACTGGCAGTTTCCCTTTTTCTCTAGAAACCACTAAAAAGACCATTTTATTGAGTAAGCCGTATATAGGATGAAAGAGGTAAATGTGCTTTCAGAGATCTTAGTTTCTGAGTATGAGAAGGAAATAATTTCCCTGTTATTTAGACAACACAATTACTGTCTGTGTAACAATACTCATTATCTCTCAGCTGTCTGAGATACACACCTTTTAAAACACATTTAGATCAGCAAACTCCTCTCTCAAAAAAAAGAAAACACACAATAACCAGTACACACTAAGATGGGTCAAAGCACAACAGAAATAATACCAGCATCATTTAGCATAGACATCTGTAATAACATTTGAATGCTATGCAGCACAAGGCTTGAACCTGTCTGACATACTCCAAGGAACATGGTGCATTATTTTGGTGCTGTATTTTAGCCCTGATATTGCCAGTACTCTGTTCATGTTCACTGCCACAACCATATTAAATGAATGTTTGTCAAACCAGTAAAGTTCTTAGCTGGAGGAATAGCTTGCTTGAAGTGGAAAGTCACTTCGTGCTTCTATGAAGCAACACTGAATAATATTGTGTTAAACTCAAACAATTTTTCATGTTTTACTTCAGAGAATAAGTCTTCTAGATTATCAAAGATTCAACAAAATAAAAAAACAAATCAGGTAGACTACATTAACAGAATATTCCAGCTGAAATTCCATCACCTAAAAACAGAACTTATTTGAGTAGCAGCCCCCATTCCAGTCAAGGTCATCAACTGGAAAATAACTTCCCAGAATACTGTTATTCAACACTGGAAGAGGCAGACTTTTAAGCTACTTTGCAGTGAGAAATGTCTATGAAAAACTAGGTGCACAATAATATATTCATTCACAATACTGTTACCACACCACAATATAGGAAAAGGAGTCAGAAAAGTCTGTTTCCTCTCCCCAGTAAGAATACTTTTGAACAGTAACCATATACCTACTCTGCATTTCAATTAGTTGCAAGTCAGAACCATTCTCTAAGCCTATAATGTCTGGATTCATGCCATCACTTTTAGAATATTTCTGTCGCTCTTCTTCCAACTGCATCTTCAGTTTTCTAACCTGAAAAAGAAGTGTTCTTCTGTGAAAAAGACTCCCGCAAGTTCAGTAGTTGTGTATCTAAATGTTCAATGGGAAAAAGGCAAAGCAGTCCCGAGATGCCACTGGCTGAGATGGCTCTGTAAGTGTCTCGATGAAGACAAGGCAGGAAAACCAGTCCCTGAGACCTGTGGCTAAAACTCCCCCTCCCCATTGCTGGGTGAGTGCATGTCAACACAGATTCCTCAGCTATGTCCTCTGTGACTGGAATTTACAAGAAGTGGGAACTACTTCTTTTGACTCTCAAAATACCATTAGCTGCATGGTACTGTTGTGTACTTGCAAAACTTTCATTCATGTCAAATATTTTAATGCTGTTTTTTACAACTATGTGGTGATAAATATGCATATACATTTTTATATGCTTGTATTTAATACTAGAATTTATTTGCATTCTAAACCAAGTATCAATACTAAAATTAGGGTACATTCCCAGCAAATGCAAATGTTGACAACACCACTTTAAATTTGGAATGTGTTCGAATAGGAAAACAAAAACTATGGTATTCCTAACAATCGTTTAATGGCTCTATGTTTTCTTCAGTACTCTCTTCTCAATATTGAACTGTGTTAAAATACAACTACTTTGATAATACTCATTTTCTAGTTGAGTAACTGAAATGATCACAGAAACAGTACCGCTCAGTAATTCAGAAGAAGGGCTACTTAAATTTATGAGTAAGTAATTTTACTGACTTTAGTATTTCTACACAAAACAAAAATGAAAGGAATAACAATTCTAAATACATGCACTGATAGTAGATCAGCAACAACTTAGATTTCAACTAACCAGTTAGTGAAATGAGGGTTCTTAACCCACCAAGATCAAAGTCACATGGATAAGGAAACTAGTGAGAGGAGATGATAATTCCTGGTAGCCAGCCAGGTAAGGAGTATTTTATTTTGCTTTAGTGCTTAAGTACTTGATTAAGCACCTTTGGTACTTTATATTTGATTATTGCCAATATATTAAAAGTTTGCAAAAGGATATACAAAGGTCTATTTTTAAAAATTAATAGCTTGTGTTACCTGTGACAGTAATTCCTCTTTTTCTCCAGCCAGTTTTCTTAGCCGGATATCTAAAACCAAAGAACCCAATTAAAAAAACAGAGAAATCTGTAACTAAAAACATTTTTCATAACTTTTTGTTTGTTTTCAAATAAAATGCTCTTTAAACTTAAGGCAAATAGCACTGGGACCATAAAACTCTGGTATCTAATAACGTATCAGCCTTCAGTTAATAGCAGAAAAAAGGGGTAAATATTTAATTCACACTGTTTCTTAGAATAATTTTAAAGCAAGACCTCAGAGTTTAGTAATTCTTCAGAGTAAATTAACAACTCATGATTTTTTTTCATAATAAAAACACAGTTTTGTCCCGGTATCTAGAACAGCCATTTCCAACAAAACTTTCTTCTGACTGTATATGCTTTTCCCTGTCTCATTCTTAAGGACTGTTATCTATTCAGGGAAGGCACCAAGAAAGTTTGTAGAAAGTGTTCTTAAATCACCAAAAAAAGTACTTGGGAGAGGACCCACAAGAATGTTGCAATGTCTGAAGGTCAGGAGACTGGTAGTGGCCACAAAGCATTCTGTCAAGCAACACACTGCTAAGTAAAGCAGTTTCCTTGGAAATGCTAACTCTAGACAGAAACAACACAATAAAGATCTGTAGTCCACAATGATGGAGCCACAGCAGAACATGTATAAAGTCTAATCTCTGCCAAATCAAAGACATGTAACTTATATATTATTTACAAATATAATCCAAGCCTATAGAGATATATCTTTGCATGTTGACTGAGTTTTACAGTAGACTATGCATGCAGTAACTTGTTCAGCCTAAGGATAAAAGCAAGTTAAAATAAAGGCCCCCAAAACTTCTTTCTGCTGTCCATGCCTTTTGAATGTTATTAAAACTCGGCTTTCTAATGATTGTGATGAAATACTGCATTTGCTTTACACTAAATGGCAGAAATATTTCAAGGAAGGGGAAAGAATATACAGGGCTTTGCTTTCTTCAACAGAAGTTCTTTCACTGATTATATATAAAGATTTTTTTTCCATGAAACAATAGAGAACAGACTAATCTGAAAGACTACACTTTCAGGCAAGATATTTTCTGACAGTAACAAAATCGGGACTAAGATCTAATCAATTACAAAGATCCAAGCATATACTATTTTTTTACTCAGATAAATTTGCTTTCTCATTCAGCATAAAAAATAACAACCTTGAAAGCTGTGTATTCCAGAAACATCACAGGTATCTTTCTGTGGTTGTAAATCACTGTGAACAGGAGGGAAACAAAGACTTCAAACACTCTATAACAAAGTACAGTAGGGTATTTTTACCTAGTGGTCCTTCTCCTGCAGATTCCAAGACTTGAGCAGCTTCCTGTGATACAACTGTTATAGCACCAACCACTGATTCATGGTTTACATCACCGTTTGGTGTGCCATCTGGGATTATAACCAATCCATGTTTCTAAAATCACAAAAGAAAAAAAAAACAACCTACTCATACAAGAGCATAAAATATAAAATATATATATGCTAAAATATAATCAGACAGAAGAGTTCATAAAAAGCTTTTCAAGTTGATTGAGAAAGTTACAACTATTGCGCCATTTATCCTACCCTAAGGTCAGGTTTTGAGACTGCACAAGAGTAGTAACCATTGTTCCTCTTTTTCATTGACCTTGATTTCATGCCCCACTCCTGGATTTCTGTTACTGCAAAGTAACTACTACAAACATACCTCTCCTCTCTTCATTGTTTCCTTCAGGTCAGCCAACTCCTCTCTGAGCTCATCTCGCTCATTCTTAATGCAGTCAAAGTAATTTTTCTGTCTTTCTAGGGCCTGGGTTCAGGCAGATGGCAAGAAAAAGAATGGCACAGAGAAAAAGCATATGACAGATAGCAGAGAGATTTTCTACAAGTAAATACAAAGAGCTCAACAAAAGTAAAGAAATTAAAAGGGGTATTTAATGTATATTAATGTACATCTCTGATAACTACTTTCTACAAGTCATATCTAGCCTCATTGCCGCATGTTTGTCATGCCAGTTTTTTCCCAGGAAAGTCTCAGTAGTTTCTATTATAGATTTTTATTTAGTTGATTCTATTTTTGGTAGATTTTGAAAAACTAAATCAAATACCAAAAGAGTGATTTGTCTTATTACAAGCATTCTGTGGCCAGAAACAAAATTTGTTGGAACTCAACTGACAAAGATCCTAAAGCATTACATCCATTGAACTAATTTATCTCTTACAGGGTACAGAAGTAGCAAACATACTTCATAGAAGACCTTGGATATATAAGCTTGTCCACTTAGAAATACTAGTTTTTTTACTAGCTGCTTAATTACTACAACCACCCTTTACTAAACCCAAAGCAGTCAGTTTGAGAGGGGGAGAAAAAAGCAGCACTACTAGCACAAACAAGGACTGAAGCAATATGGATGCAGATGGATTTGCCTACCTATGCTGGAGCTGTGTTACCTGGCAGTTAATCAGATACTTTCACTTGCAGCATCCCATTCCATTATTCATTCAAATTCAATACTGCAAGCATTACAAATAATCCTAACCGTACAGCAACTGCAAAAGTGTACATTTTGCCAAGAAAATTATCCACTAAATCTTATGTCATGTGTAAATGTTTAGGAATGGACTGATACCAAGAAAGAAATGAAGGTGTATACCTTTTGTACTGTAATTGCCCCACATAACAATTGCAGTATGCAGAATTTTAATCATCATCTGGAATGTTTTAATGGATTACTCTTACTTTCAACAGAAAACTGATTTACTAATATGTAAATGTGACATTTAAAATACAAATAATTCAACATGTGTGAAAACATTAGCTGTCGCATCAAAAAGAACTCATAAGATATCCTTTTATTTCCTAACACACATTTTCTAACTACATTATAAACACTGCAGAGCTCCTTAATCATTGCATCATTCAGTGTTCCACTTAAAGATACACCTTTCCCATATTTGAAGAACAGCAGCAAAACCAGAAAGGGAAGTAAACTCACGCACCAAAGAGAATGGACACAGAGGCCCAGAATTACACTGCAGACACAGACACCATGTGCTTGGCAGTGCTCTGTGATGCTGCTAACCTTCCCAAAACATGCTTCCTATCTGCAACGCTATGCACAAGTGTTACGTGCATAGAAATCAGGAAAATTTGATGGGAAGTGAAACCGATATAGCCATGTATCTCTGCCTTTGGAGAGATGTTGAGAAACTTTAGCAAAGCTGCTACTGTTCGTATGCTCAGGAATTAAAATACATGACATGAATTTTGTAATAAAGCTACTTTTGCAGTTCTTTTGGGGGGGAGGCAGAAATCAGCACAAGCTCTGCAGGCATGTTTTAACAGACCAGTATAATTAAAACATGATCATCTGGCAGAAAGCAGATTTGTCTATGGTCTTATTTTCTAAATATTCCAAGAAACCTGTATAAAATCTGTACCAAGCTCACACACTCCACTGCTAATTCCAAACTGGCAGTGCATGTACCATTTGGAGCCACCGAACAGTGAAACAGCTGTGTATTCCAGCAGTATAACCTGGGAGTTATAGTTCCGTGGTTCTGTCCTCAAATTGGTCTAATTAAAGACCAACTACAACTGTAAATTTCAACTGCTTTGTAGAAACATGGCAATTTAAGAAGGCAGGTGTAAACCAAACTCATGCTATCTCTATCCTGCTTGCCTCACTCTAAAGCACACATTGTAAAACTACATTACAACTCTAGTTATAAACTAGTCTTTTGTGGACCTTCTCAGAGATTTCTGAAGCTGGAATAGAGTAACAATAAGCAAAGCTTCTCAGCACTGAGAAGCTCAAACTGAGCTCAGAAATGTGTCTCTAGATAACAGAAATCACACAGAAAAGACAGCAGCATGTTAACACTGTAACAACTAAGAGGTTTCAATCTCAGGATGGTGAAAACAAAAACTAAGAAAAAATCCAGTTATGCTGTTTAAAGGAACACAAACTGGCAAGAAAATTATGGCTGAAGGAAAAAAAACCTGTTTTGTCCATCTGGCTGACAGCTATTTTTGTTTGAACATTAGATAAATGATATGCTCTGTACTAACTGTGGCAACATCTCTGAAAGCAAAATGTGCTTGCACAAAGCGCACAATGGTGAAGAATAAGTATGGAAAGAATACGGTTAAAGATAAAAAAAACTTTTCAGAAGAATGTTCATAAACTTAAACATGTTAAAATGTTACTTTGTGGTGAGGAGAATTGGACTGAAGGACTGAAACACTAAAGTATAGACTGAAAAAAGACAGCGTAACAGTGCTTTTTTAACTGGGCACCATCGGTTATCACAGTGACTTGAACTCCAGCAAATGCAGCAATCTTCAAAGCAATCTGCGTATGTCAAAATCTGGTGTAAAATTCAATTGAAGATAAATGACCCTACTGTTAGTGGGAGACAGAGAATTCCTTTCTAAAGACTTTCCAGTTAACTCCTCACCACCAGGCAATTTACGTGTGGCACAGAACAGCCACCAAGTTCTCAGCCAAGCAGCTATCCCCAAGACTCAGGCTGACTTAGTTTTACCACTTCCTGCTGCCCAGAAGCAAAGGTGACAAACCCTGTCTGACTTATATTAGCTGCATAGTGAATATTAACACAATTCTTCCTGTACCACCTTCCTTCCTAACCAGGAACCCTACAGATACTCTTCGAAAGGTCCCACACAACCACTGATTCCAGCTCTCAATTACAGTAGATGGTAACCTTGGTATTTTGTGTGTGTTATCAAAAAAACAGCTTGGTTCAGTGTTGCATTCAAGCTAACCAGCCCTGGGAGGTTCAGAAGTGCAACACAGGAATCTGCAAGTTGGCTGCAGAAGTCAATTCAAGATTGTATTTTTTAGCACTAGGTATACAATCACAGAACGGTTTGGGCTGGAAGGGACCTTAAAGCTCATCCAGTTCCAACCCCTGCCATGGGCAGGGACAACTTCCACTAGACCAGGTTTCTCAAGGCCCTGTCCAACTTGGCCTTGAACACTGCCAAATGCAATCAAAATGTACAAATACTCACTGAGGTTTCTCTACATTTTGACACTTTGCTCTTGCTGCTCTCTAGATTTTCTAGTATTTGGGGTATTTTGTCTCTCTTATCCCAGGTATTGCAAAACAAGCCCTTTTAAAACCCACTACTTCTTATGCAAATTGTTAAGCTGACAAGAGAGAGCAGAAGGCTTTGAAAATTGTGTTTACCTTTAAGGAGATTAAAAGCTTTAAAACCAATTTCAAATTTGTTTAAAAGTATATTATTGCTGTGTCACAAGGACCAATATACAGACCCAAGTCATAAGGAAAATATAACTTTTCAAGCCCTGAATACAGGCAAAGAATATTTTGTATAAATATTATACATTTGACTGCCTAACAGTTTATTATATTATAGATTTTATTAGTATTCATTATAATGCAAGTAAAAATGAAGTGGAGCTCATTTTCTAAAGACTGCAAACCATTTAAAGTATTTAAATCAGGAGCAGCCTTCATTTCTTTGGAGTACACAGCATTCCTTGGAGCGAGGGGGCATCCATCTACCTCTAAAATGAAAAAATGCCTCCCCCCTCTATTTGATTCATACCCCTATTTTTTTATCTTTCCATTTAATTGTCTCCTGGAGATCAAACACCTCTTTGGTTATGGAGTCTATATTCTGCTGCATGCGTTGATTCTCCTGTAGTAAATAGGATGGAGGAAAGAATAAAAGAGGAAAGAGAAGTAAGAAAACATGAAAAAAAAAAACAACAAACCACATTTAAATAAAGATAAAGGAAATTAAGTAATAAAAGTCAACCAAAGAGTTTATGAGCATGAAATTAAAGAAAAAGGGTGCAACTTAATATATTCCGTATGAATTCATGCAAGAGAATGGTAATTAGTTTTATTCAACGTTGATGGGAAATTTAGCACAGATAGAGCTGCATTCTTTTTTTAGTAACAGTTCCCACTGCAGACTGGGGATAACGTCCTTTCTTATAGAAAAATAACTACACTGTTGTCATGTCCGATACCTTAAAGTCCTGTTTGAAAGTGAACACTAGTGTAATAAGTACTTTTATTAATATTTGATAAAATAGAAAATCTTCTTTAAAATATAAAGAAAGAAGCTTGAATCAAGCACCCAGGAACTGAAATACAGCTTCTGACTGCTTTCTGATACTACATTAATACATATCAAGTGTAGTCCCATTTTTTTTTAATCTAACACTGCATTTTGCTATGTGCTGCACACTTAATTAGAATTCTCTTCTAGGCTCATAAAATTACGTATGAAGATGACATGAATTTTTAGGGCTAGGGACAATTTTTTGCCCTCCTAATGAGTGAACTTGATTTTACTTCTGGGAATGAAGACAATGTCTAGCTGAAGCCATTTAGCTTTCTGCAGAAAGATCTTCTATTTAACAGATGAAGAAGTTACTCAAATAAATGACCAAGGGAATCCACACATTTGATGAAAATTCAACACAAGCTACATTCTACCAAACACTCCAGACAAATCTATTTCATATTCATGATTCACATACTTTAAAAGGCAAAGAACAAAAAAACAGAACCCCCCAAAATACCCCCAAAACCAAAGTATATAGGTGTGGGTTTTTTTTAAATTTACAGTGAATTCAAAGAGAATCCAGAGCAAGCAACGGAGCTACGACCAGAATTTGCTAACTTTTTCTGTTTGCCAGCATTAATCTGCTGCAAAATGCTGTTACTTTGGCTAATCTTATTCCTTTTCTTCATACCAACTCCAGTTCAGGGATCGTATTATTTTCTCAGTAATCATAACAGATCTGGGACTTTTCAGAAGCCTTTTGGAGTTACTGTACCACTACCTGGAGAGCATAAGAACTTAATGGGGAAAGAAATTGATCAATGAAGTGCAGCGTTATATAGTTTTTGAAAATCAGGTTTGTTTCTAGAAGAAAGGGAAAAAGAACAGGGTGAGGGGAAAGGAACACACACAGCAAAATGGTTATGATACAGTAACATGCTGACCAGTGTTGCTATATTTATACTTGACTAGTAAGCAAACAAACACTCACTAACACAAACTTCAGTGGCTGATGCTCACAAAAATCTGGAACAACTGAAATGAAAACTTTTGGGAAAGTCAAGGATAACATTTAGTATTATCCATGCATCAGAACTTCTGGCTATGCAAAAAGATTTTGGCCATGCAAACATTAGTTCTGCCTTCAAAGGGAAGAAAAGATATAAAGAACGTTCATGGGAACATCACAATTCTCATAGGAATTAAGCATTTCAAATGATGCAATTCATCTGAAAATTGTGCAGAGACATTTTGAACTTTGTAAATTTAGAGAGATCCACCCACAAGAACAAGATAAGCTCTTTCCTAAAAAATGCAAGATGATATTTGTTTTGTGTATGATGGCTGTTGCCACACAAATCTTACACCATATTGCTTACACATGTTCTGTCGTACACTTTCATACATACATACCTCTATCAATTCATCTCTCTGTCGAAGGCCCTCTTTAAGTTCATCCAGCTTATGCTGCAAAACACTGCATGTGTGTTTCTGTCTTTCCAATTCCTGTATCAATATAGTTTAAGTTTTAGAAAAATTAGTAATAACACTTAACAGTAGCTAAGAAATTACTGCAACCATTGGGGAAATTCTACAGAGTAGCTTAAAAAAAAAAAAAAAAAATCACAGAATCAGATTTTTAGGTTAAGTTCTCCAGATAATAACTATATAGAAGATTTTATTTAATAAAATGTTAAGCAGAAAGATGCCATAAAGGCTTAAGCACAATATTAACAAGAAAACTCAGATACTGAATTTATCTGAATATTGCTGGAAGAATAATACTGTCATAGAACTTCCCTGATCTAATGTCATAGATCTTTCCTTTTTAAGAAAGTGGGGCTGAACATGCCCTATTCAATTTAAATTCATATTTTATCTTCAGTCAGTGTATTACATTAATGTGCTTTTTTTTTTCCTGGCAGTGGGGGTGTTAGTGGTGATTCAGTTTTTCTTATAAACCAGCACAATACTCAAAACATCTCAGGCCACTGAGATAGACTTTTCTACTAATCCAGAAGTTTTCAGCTGTTCATTCTAAGTAGTCCAAGGTTTCTATGGGTTACATTTACAATTAGAAAAAGTCTTAAAAATCAGTACCTTTGACTTCTCTTCATTCTCCCTATAGAACTCTGCTATCTGTTCTTCTTTCTCCTCAATGACATCTTTTAGGGTATCCACTTGGTAAACCAAGTTGTTTTTCTCATTGTCTAGTTGAGCATTGGAAACCATAGCTTTTTTGTACTTCTCTTCAACTTCAGCTAGCGAATCCTACACACAGTAGAAAGGCTTACATTAATCACATTTTTTTATGCATTGTTATATTGTTAAAATATCACCACAACACTGAAGGGTGCTGTTATACAGTAAAATTCCGACACCATTTTTCTTTCTGAATTGTATTTGTGTCTTCCCTTTAGCGACACCAAGTCACAGCTCAGTTTCCGTTATTCAGGTTAGGTCATACACAGCAATGAAAAACCATCATTCCACAAGTATGAAAACTACAAGATAATATTCCATTTGCATTTTGTTACTCTGCCACCTTCACAACTTAACTCACAGGGGTAAAGTAGCAATATCACAGCCTTATCGTATTTTCAACACATGCATGAGGAAACACTCCAGAATGAGGCAACAAGTTTAGCAGGGAAGTCAGACAATGAAATGACTAAAAAAGATCACAGAAATAACTCTAAGAGTAGCTTTAACTTAATACTCATTAAAGTAGTGTTGTATTACCTCAAAGTTTTAAGGTAGTCACACTGTTTCAGTAATAATGATTCCCTGCTTAAGCAGAGATTTTGTCTATTTCTTACTAAGACTTTTTTTATCATAAGGCATGTAAAGACTCACGTGCTTGATTCTCTACCTGAAGGTGCACATATGCCTTGCTTTATACTGTCTTGCACAATTCTGACAGTTACCAAAATGATTTATCCTATTATTCTTTTCAGTACTATAACAAATGTGGACTATTCATATACTGGAAAAACTATCACTCCAGGCACTTTTAAACATGCAGCGATTTCAATCTGCATTGTTACAAAAAATGAGTTGCACAGAGTCCTAATTTTAGAATTGAAAAAGAACTATTACGCCATTCCCTCTCCAAAGTACATTTGTGCTCTCCTACAAATCCCCTAGTATTTCAAGTAATCTGTTCTTTGAAAGCCTAAGTAGCTTAACCTCAATTTTTCATCATTTATATTATGACAGTAGAAGTACTAGAACAGGAAGGGCCCCAGGTTTGGGTTTTCCAGAAAACAGAACAATAGGACTAAGGGCTAAAATATCAGGGGAGAAGGTGGCAACTATCTCAGTTTCCTTAGAAAAAGCTGAAGAGTGCCATCTGTGATACTGTAAAAATCTCATGACCTTGTTTCTGCTCTTTATAGATATCAAGTCACATTATAAGAAATCCAAAAAAGCCCAACCCTCAAACACTATTCCATGTTCCAAATCTCCATTTTGAGAAAGCTGTCCTTCAAGTACATATTTTACCCTTTATAATTTTTATCTTAATCATATGTATTTATACCTCTCTGTTCCATTCACTGAATTCTGGAGTTTTGTGTTGGAGAAATACAGTATTTTACAAACCCCAGAAAAAATAACTTAAGATATAGCCTGATAGACTACAGATCAGAAAAGACAAGACAGTATAATTAGTGAAAATAAAAGGTGCCATTATCATCTGGGAAGCAGTAAATAGCAGACTGAAGATAGAGGGAACAACATAATGAAAAATAAAGTGCATTCAAGTAAATCTCAAATTAACACCACAGAAAAGATCTCTTAGTGATGGTGTAAACATGACAAATCCTGTAAAGACTGGTAGAACAAAACACCAGAAACGGCAAAACTTCTGAAGGCTTTTGAAGAATAATTCAATTTAGAGGAAAACATGAAAATACTAGGATTAAAATGAGTCCTTTTATGAAGGGATACAAAATGTAACAGAAAGTACAACTAGGAAAAAAATTCCAATTTTATCAATTCTATGAACGTGGTGGGTAGAGTCATGCAGTAATTCAGGTTGGTAAAGATCTCTGGATGCCATCTGTCCAATCTCCTAATTAAACAGGGGCAAACAAGATCAAGCTCCTCACAGCTCATCTCCAGGGATGCAGACTGCAGAACCTGCACCAGTGTTTGACTGCCTTTCCTGTGAAAAAGTCTTTCTTGAGGTCTAACTGGAATTTCTGCCCTTACAATGCAACTTATGTCTGTTGCATCCTGCCCTGTCACTGTGCACCTTTGAAAGGAGTCTGCCCTGTATTTTCTATAGCCTCCTATCAGGCAGTTGGGAACAGCAATGCTGTTGCTGCCCACCCCCCCAAGACTTATCAAATCCAGTTGTCTCAACCCCTTATTTTATACCATGTCCTCCAGGACTGTAGCCTTAAAGAGGAGACCAGATTGTGGTTTAAAAGACTGAATTAGAATGTCATTAATCAACAAGTTAACAGGGGAGAAATATGCAGTCATTGAAGTGGAATAAATTGATCTGGGATGGAAGAGTGAGAATTGCTTCCAAGAAAGAAACCAAACTATAAGTCTCCAACTGGTTAAGAAAACTGGAGCATTGCTAAGAGTTCTTTGGAACTGTTCCTTGTTTCCAGTAAAGTATTCCACATGTCCCCTATGGTTCAAGAATTCCATGTACTTTCAGTTATCTTCTAGTTTGGTGGGAAGATCTGGAAGAATTTATGATGCACTGGAAAGAGGCTGTGGGATGCCTAAAGATGAAGCAGTGGGAACATGCTGGAATGAAAATGGATAATAAGGCTCTGCACACAACTGAAAGCTATGAAGAAATGCCACCCACAGTTCTTCAGTAATGGCAAAGGGCTATGCAAATTAGCCTGCTTGGCTAGAACAAGACAATTAAACACCGCAGACATCAAGAGAACGTTCTGTTAACTGCATAAGCGAAATTTTGAGAAAAGAAAAAGGATCCCTTTCTAGTTGATGCAAGAAACACAGAAGCAATCAACAAAACTGCATCAAACTGAGACATGAAAAGATTTGAAGGCCTAGTTAAATCAGAACTATCCACATTAAAGTTATTCTATTGACATTAGATTTTTAGTCTAGTTAAGACCACAGCTCTTGGTCAACCACAGAGATAGGAAAGTAGTGTGATTACAAATAGCTGTTACTCAGCCACTGAAAAAAACTCCACTTAAAAGTAATGTAAAAACAGATGCCCTACTAACTCTTCGAAATGTACACAAGACAAATCTGCTAAAGCAGAGGTTGAAAAAAAAAAGGCATTATCTTCCTAATTAGGGAGAAAGAGTCCCAAAAGAATGTCTATGGAAGGCAAATTAACTTGGAATCATATTATGCAGTATTTACAATAGCATAAAAAAATGCAATTCAATTTTGCAAGCCAAGGGCAGATCAAGATCTCACTACTGCACACCTGTGATCTTCAGTAAGTGTAATGGATTATAATCAATAACAGAGCATTACTAATGATTCAGAGCAATCGTCATAAGATGCTGTCAAACATGCAAAAGTTTAAGAGATCTATTCTGAAAATGTGAAGCAATCTCATGTTTTATTCAAACTTAGTACAATCAGAGCTATGTCTAATAATCTTGTAATCTACTGCTCTTTCAAGTCCTTTTAATATTCATTTGACAGTGTGATTAGAACAAGATGTATTTCATCTGAGCCTATGGCTATCAGATTCAAGTTATTTATTCTTGAAAGAGGAAATAATTTTTGCTACAATGAACAGCTCAAATTACACATGTTCTCTTTACTATGCAATCTAGTATGTTGTTTAATCAATTAAATTCAAGGAAGCTGTTACACTCATCACTGTCACAATGCTCTAATACAAGCAGCATTCATTAAGTTCAGTCTCTATGTGGATACAAAACATATGGGAAGTTCCCTACTTTTACATGGAGCCATTGACAATTTGTTAAGAGAACAAATCTTGAAATAAATTGAAAGCTACATTATTTGCTGTATTCAGTTTCCCTTCAACACAGAAGAGGGGAAAATAATCATACTTTAACTGCAAACTGTTATTTGCGTGAAAACTTACAAAAGAAAAGCATACATACTAATTTAAACAAGTCAAAATACAGACAAATCTCATTCACCTAATGCTGAAAACACCAACCTTCACAGATAATGGGAATATAAACCAAAAGTATAAAAAAAAATACACCTTTCTTAATGGAAAAGGATTAAGCCAAATCACCTTCTCCTGCAAGCAGTATGCCTGTCCAAATTCATTTCAGCACATCTTTTACAATTATTACTTCAGCTTTGCTTTTTAAGATGTAGTATTTGCTGAAGCTTGGAAGATTAATGCTTAAGTTCTTTGTCATAACTATAGCCCATTTCTTTCCTTCCCATTCAATACATGGCAATTATTTCGAATACCCATTTATTTGCTAATAAAACTCTAAAAGATATAAACTGAACTGCTCATTATGTCCCCAGAAAACACATGGTAAAAATACAGAAGTTTAACAGTATTTTAACAAACCAAGTAACGAACATATACTCTCTCATATACATTTAAATCATGCCTTAATTGCCTTGCATGACATATTTAAGCTGATGCTCTCTATGCACTAAAAGTTAGTTACATGCTTTGAAGAAGAAATTCAAAAACTTGTTAGTAAAGCCTTATGTAGTTAGTGGAACCAGTGATACCTCCATTACCCAAAAATACCCATACAGAATGCATGCTTGGGAAGAGCCCTGATACCTTTAGTTCTTTAAGTCCCTGCATGTATCTCCCTTCTACATCGTGTATCTGGTCCTTAAGATCATAGATATCCTGCAGGACATAGGAATGAACCATTGCATGAGAAGTATGGGGAAATAATTTATAGTTGAAAAAAAAGCATTAAAAGGTGTACGTGCATTTCTGTCAATTGGCAAAGCCTGCAATAATTCACAGAAATTATAATGAATTCAAAACAATGTGATGGAAAGATTTGGTTTATATCCTGAATCCAAGCCATCTCAAACAAGACAGAACTGTGAACACAACAAATTACCAAGATAAATTTTCTGTGATTGAAAATTACATCCTTGTAACTTTTTCTTACTATTAAGAAACCAGAAGTTCTGCAACAAATTCCTCCTAACCATAAATACAATTTTAAACTATCTCCAAATTCTCTGAAAATGTAGTTTACCCGTAATTCACTGAGAGATGCATCAGGATCCACCCAACTGCTCGTGTCTCCACTTCCTCTCCTAGATGAGTTGCCACTCAGAGGAGTTGCACTTACTGAATTGCGAGATGATGGCTTAAAAAAGGAAAAAAAAAATAAATCTGTCAGGAATCATCCCATCATTTTGGCATTTGTGACCTTAATAATTCCTTCACAGTCATAGAATACTTTTCTCTCTTCTTTTTACCATTTCCTAGAATTAGCTTACAGACAATATTTTTCCACTGGTTATTTCCCAGCACTTATTGGTGAACTGTTGGTTTCTCTTTGATCAGTTATCGTAACATTACAGTTTTAAGTCATCTGTACAGAAGGATTTCATAAGGAGGATGCTAGTGCTAGAAAACCGTAGGAGTTGAAAATATTTCTAAAAACTCTGGTATCTGCCACCCTGGATTCAGATGGCAGTCTCCAGCGGAAACTAGCACATGAATTTTTATAGCCCTAGCCTCTTAAAATTCAACCTTTCATGCTAAGTGTTTCTCACACAGAAAATGAATTCTGTAAGAAACTCATCCTTGCTAAAAGGATAAAGTACAAAAAAAATCAACTAAAGAATAAAATTATTTCTTTGGGAAACAAAAGATACAAAGCATTAATTTTGAAGGCAAAAACTATGTCTAAAACCACCTCTTTGCAAGCTCTTAAAACCAAACAGCATTTATACTTTTGGAACTATTACAATACTTGTAAATTTGTAGATCAACACTGACTTTCAATAATTTTTTAATTAAAACCTCTTACCCTTGAAAAGATTTCTGAATGGGCCTTTTCATTCTTTTCTTCCAGCTGAAAGAGAAAAGGGAAAGTGATCACTAAACATATTTCGTAATTAGGGACTACTGATTCACCCTCTTCTTTTCAAAGATGCTGAGTGAGCACAGATCAAGATAGGAAAAAAAAAAATCAGTCTGAAAAATAAATTAATGCTTGTAAAGAAAAAGCTAGAATTTTTTTTTAAAACTTAAGACATTCATTACCAATACTGAAATACTGAACAACAAAACATGTTTCACTATTTTAATTTTCAATCAGGTAGTGACCACAACACTTGGTGGCATAACAGACACAAAGCTTCATGCAAGTGCACTTCAGTGTGAACATCCGAGTTATTAGAAAACATACTTGTCCCTTCAATCTCTTTGGTGAAACCTGCAATTACATCAGAACAAAACTAATTCAGGTAAAAGCCCATAAATGAAGTGTACTCATGAATAGCAACCTACAAAATAAGGTAAATTCATATTCTATGCACTGAAACCTAAGCAGAATAACTACCACATCCCCTCCTTCTTTAGGAAACACCAATAGTGGAAAATCATATTGTAGATTTCCATATTTTCTACATTTCCATAAATCAAGCTGTGGAATTACCTCAACATGTAGCCATATTTTTAAGAAACAATACATACTGAGCATGGTATCTCAAATATTTTGTTTCTTTAAGAACACTTGTTTTTTTCCCAGCCCAGAGAAGGAGATTTGGAAGTCTGCTACAGTTACAGTAGAAACAAGTGTTACTTCAGGAGATCTTTCCTTTTCTTTCTATTGTGGTTTCTGTAGAAGTAACATTGAATTTCCATGGCAAATTCACCATCTCCAATGATGTACTGAGGCCATAAATTGCAAATATTTGTCACCACTGTAATGATAAAATGATGTGAAGAACACAACTGATCTGAAGTATCAGCTTAGAATAATTTATGGATATAAATTTTGAATCTAATAATACATAATGGTGATGATGATAATAGAAGCAACTGAGAGGGTAGCCTCAGCCTCCACATTTTCTTTCAACAAAGCATTAATTTCAGGAAAACAGGTTTGTTATAAGTGCAGATTCACAGAAACAATGATTGTAGGGGTACTCTAGCAGTCTCTTAGGCTCTTACCCAATGAAGCAATTGCAGGATCGCTGCTGGATCATCATGTGGCATCAGCATCCCCGTTTGCCCATCTAAATAAGCCCTGTTCTCAACCCCTCCTCCTACTGCATATCCTAACACTTACTTCAAAGACATATGCCTAAGAACAGAAATTTCCCTGTTTTTTTCCACTATTAAAACACAGCAAGTAACAAGAGATTCTAGAACATATAGCAGCAACCGGGAAGGCAGCTAGGTCTGGTGTAAAGCCTAAAGTCTGTATTAAAGGGATTTACAAGAAAACCATCATTATATGTAACATGCTCTATTGACTTGAGATTTGGAACAAGAGCATAGCCAGCAATGAGTGCTCCATTAATGACCCTGACAAAATCTCATCTTGGATGAATGAACACTAAAATGAAGAGGGAACAGTTGTAAGTACTTATTTTTGTCACTAAACCAAGTAGTAGTACTCCAAAAATATACAAACCCTAGACATTGTTAATTTCCGTAGGAAACCCCCAATATTTTACATTGAAGAGCTGATTAAACTTAGCACACACAAACCCCATGAAGTGTTAACGTGTTTCACATGCTTCCAGCAACAGGCAAAATCCCTTTTCAAATAAAGCAGCATGCTTTTTAAAAATTCAGATTCCAGACACTTCTATATGACAAAACCTGCCCCATCCCCTCAACAAACCTATCTGCCATTAAATAACTCTGAATGCTTTTGCAGTATTTACTCTTTCAGAGTATTAAAATAAAATCCATAGTATTCATCACAGTATAACAACAAGCGTTACACTCACACTATTCAAACCTTGGACATCATCTGCATCGGAAACAATGCTTCCCCTGCGGTTGGAACGACTGAAATAGTCAGCAGCAGTTTCACTTTGATCAGAAAAATCAGAGGACTTCAAAAGATAAGAAGGGTGAAAGAACTGAAGATGGTATCACAAAATGAACAAATATTTAAAAAAGAAAACCAAAACAAACAAAACCCAAACAGGAAATCCAAACTTAAGTCTCCATTAGTGCAATTTAGTCTTGCTTTTCTAACAGTTTAACAGTTGTAAAAATCTTACTTTCCTAGATTTCCTTTAAATGTGTCTACATGAATAAAACATGTACTACACTGATGTGACTTCTTTAGTCAGCATATGCATTGTTTTTATACACTCCCTTCACATGCTTATTACTCTTATATAGTATCTAAGACTAAAAGCAACTAACATCTATTGCCAGTTCATGTCTTCATTTGGAGCAATATAAATAAAAAATACAGAGACACCAAAGTGTTTAGTGGCAAATACAAGCTACGAAAATTAACTGTAAAAAAAAAGTTTAAGTTGTAAAAACAGATTAGATAATCAGAAGCTGAGAAATAAAAGTTAGTATTTTTCTCTACAAATGTCTTTCCTTCAAATTAACACAATCCCACTACTACTAATTATGGGTATGATCTGGGCTTCCTCTCATTCACAATTTTCAGAGGCCTTACAATAGAAGACATGCTTATGCCCCAAAGCTATATGTCAGACAAGCACCTAAAAAAGGAAAAAACGCTAATACTACACTAGAAAAAGGCAAAAATATATCAAACTTACATATACGTACTGAGATCTGATATATCTATATAAGGTTAAAGTACAAAGAAATGAATCTTAGTACTTTTCTCCTTAGTTTCTCTTAATGCTATTTTCACTGTTCAAGAGACCTCAGAGATAGACATTAATACCTCTTATGTTTTAGAACTTCATAAAACAACAGCAAAGTTCCCTTTCCTACACCCTCAGAAATTCATTCTGACATCTGTTATAGCTAAAAGCACCCAGTTTCTGACAAATCTGTTCTGATTTGTTTAGTCTCTACACCATTGTTAGGAATATGTGAAAAGTGAAAAAAGGACCCAACATTTCAATTAAACCCATACCAGAACACTTTTTTGTGTAACATGACAAATGGGCAGCTGTACCAATGAAACTAGGACAGCTGTTCTGCAGCAGAAACAGAGCAGAACTATTTAAAAATCACTTTGCAGCAAGAAAAGCCATCTTTAGAATGACATTTTTAACACAAAAATAAAGGAACAAATTTCTCTTGGTTTTGAATACTAGTCCCCATAAAAATGAGCCAGTTATTTCTTACTGGATCATATAACAAAGTCTGCAGTAGCCCTCTTCCCCAAAGAGGTGTTGTAGTAACAGATTCATGTGCCTGCTACAGCTATGACATAAGGTGGCAACCCCAAGAATGTCCTGTACTCCGGTTTCCAACTGCTTCCAATTATATACATTCGAGATATTTAAGAGATGTTTAGGAAAAAAAAAAAAATCCTTGTTGCTTCTACACTTTATTGTCCTGCTGCTAAAATTTTACATCTTGCTAAAAATGGCATGTCTAACAAATTACTTTTTTTTTTTTGATGCAGAATTGAACAATCACATCTATGATTTGGTTAGTAAAACAAACCCTTGTATAAATACTCATAATCATTGCTCATTAGTAAAGCATTCAGGAAACCATGCAAGAGGAATGCTCACCACAGGACTACTTTGAACAGAGCTTGCTCTTGAGGAATAACTGTATTCAGATGGCTGAAGAGAAACGATGAATACATTTTTCATTCTCATAGATTTTTGTCTCCAGAAAACAAACATAATGAAAGAAACAACCAAAAGCCTACTACACTTACAGTGCGAGAACTATATGAGCTATATAATCCATCACCACTCAATGATGCCTGAGAAAAAGGAAATAAGATGCTCTTTACATTCAGTCTCAGAAATCATTACACCACACTCATACGCTGTAATACACTCCTTTATGAAAGGACAAATTTTTTTTACATTTCCAACAGTATTTCCTCCTACTGTCAGGGATGTCTATTTCCAGATACAAATCTAAGAATTTCCTTGAAAAAAGAAAAATATAAACCCCAAAACTTTATTTTCAGAATAAAATTACATCAATCGCTTAAATTTCAATTTGTTTTTCACTGTTCTGAAGTCTTCATAAGTTTTAATCCATCCTGGAAACTGAAGTTATATTGTACACTTATCAGTTTTGCTTTGAGCTCAGCCATGCAGCTTTTCCTGAATGACAATGTTTCAGGGTAAAAGGCTGAAATCTATTTATGCATTGAATAATAAAAGCAGCTCTGTGAAATATAATAATAATAAAATACAGTCCCAGGCTGCTTTCCTCCTACCAGTGAAGAGAGGTCTAGTAGAAACTGTATGCAGAATTACATGCATATCAGAATTGTACGTAACAGCAGTCATTATGGTCTTGTTCTTTCAGGGTATCTTCTAATGTTTTCTCAAGAACATGCACAAAGTCGAAAGAGTAAATTATCTACTTGCAATTCAAGCACAGCACAAGACCCCAGTAGCTGTATTAAAAAAAAAAACAAACCTACATGAGTACCTGATGATTTTCTACAGAGGTTTAGCATGTCACTAGATGGCAGTGTAAGTTGAATTTGAACTGCTGGGGCAGCAAGAGCCATGAGGTTTCAGGCATGCATGTCACTTTTTAAAGACAACTTTCTGTAAGGCAACCTTAGCCATTTTTATAGCACTTTCATCTACTTTTTGTTTTGCAAAGATGCAAATTATGTTTTCATCCTATTACATTTAAATAAGGCATTTTATTTGAAAGTATAAAGTGTATTTTACCACAAATTTCTGTAATCTCCTGACAATATTTTTTCCTGTGCAAATGCTTTACTTCTTTAAATAGCTTTTTAGTACATGCAGCTGTTAATTAGTATGCTTGGATTAACTTGTTCTAATCCAGTATTCTTCAACATCATTGTTGTATTCATAAATTTTATGCCTGTCTGTAAGGTCAGTAAACCAGCAACTACTAAAATGCTTTGAAGAGGCACTTTAGCAATGTTAAAGACACTAAACCAAATGACTCCACAAAATGACACACAAGCTGCAGCTTTAACAAGGAAAAAAAGCACATGTAATACTGTCAAGCCTCATGGCTATATAATACAAATTTAAGGCAACCATGCAAATGGTGCTTACGAACCAAACTGATACTTCTTATCAAACCAGTGTTTACAGAAGGAGACACCTATGAAGAGAAGTGTATTTTATAATTCTGTTGGCCATTCAAACATCTAAAGATAAGAAAGATTGTTTTGCATCGTACTAACCCTGTAACTCCTAGTTGTTGCCACTGGATCACTGCATAGAGAAGATGACTGTAGTGTGAAAGAAAAAGTCAGAAACCTTTTCTGTGTACATTAACATATATTGCTCTATATTCCACGAAAGTTCTAAAGAAAATACTAAATTTTACATCTATTAGAGACATGCTTGGACAAACACTCCAAGAAAAAACATTATCTTTGAGATCATATTTTCAAACATTAAAGAAATCTGGTATTTTTATCAGATTTATAGAAGAGAATGACAGAAAATTAAGCAGTTTTCAAAAGACACATCAATTTCCTCTAGTTGCTTATTTAAACCTGACCACAACAGGAGGCGCAGGAACTGGAAGATAGCACCCATCTCAGAACAGACCATGGGCTTATGTATATTACTACAAAACAAACTAGTACATTGATGCTAAACTTTTAACACTTTCTGTTGCTGTTTTAAAAATAGGACTTAGAAAAAGCAAGTGTCACAGCTATGTTTTTTCTTTATATCATGCAATCAGGAAACAGAATTAATTTGGAATCTGAAACTTGCATGTTATCCATTCATTTTGTAAAAGGCAACCCTAGAAACAAGAAAAATAATTGTAACTACTAGCTGTAATCATTTGCAATGTTATAGAAGGAGAGAAAAGTTTGCTTCATATAGTATAAGCAAACCTAAGTATATGTATTTTATATGCATTAAGAAATTAATGTAGGAAGAGGAGACAGACCCGAGTATGGTAGGAAGAAACTGGTTTACTATATCTAAGGCTGCTATAATTTCTTTGATCGTAGTAAATTCCACTCTGTGAGGGGAGGAAAAGAAAGAGAAAACAAAGATTGCATTTGTAGATCTTGTAAATAAAATTTCTAACTTAACATTGCTCAATGTTCCCAAGCTCAGAACTGGTACAGAACGCTGTAAAAATGTTCCCTGTGGTTGACCCCAGAACCATATAACTTTCTGAAGCAAATAAAGTGTAAAAATTTCCCCAAACCACTTGTGTACTCTGCATATCAGTATTACCTGTGGTTTAATACCACGCCCAACCAAAAATAGTAAACATCTTTGCGTTTTTTCTCCCCAGTATGAAAGCCCCAAAGCATTTACCTAACCCTGACAAGTGCAGCATGAAATACTTCAAAGACATTTGCCAAAACCTGCTAATAATTTGATCTTTTTCTTTTCCCATTAGGCAGCATAGTAAATCAGAGCATTTTTGGAGAGAGAAGGTCAAATCCCTAAGTTAATGTAGTTTAACAAAAGAAGGATGTTTGTATTATCAGCATTAATCTGTACCCTAGCACTGCTCCTTACACCAAGCATGCATGAAAGCCTAGCATTTATACTTTGGCTGATTTCTGTTGGGTTTTGACATTTTCTACACAACCTGCATATAAGCATATGCGTATGTGAGGAAAAAAAATAAAAATGTATGTATACACATATAAAGCAGGAGGAAAAAAAATAAGAGTTGAAGATATGGCAAAAAGTAGCACTTTCAGAATGCAGTGCTTTGTATCGCAGTAGGCCACAGGAGGCAGAAAGATTCATATTACTCATTTAAAGAACTAAGGGAACAGGAAAATAGCACCTCAAAAGTGCACTGAGAAATGTAATACAAATAACAGGTAAACAAAAATCATTTCAGCCTTGTCTCAACACAGACACCTACTGCTGCTCCGATTCCCTCAACCTGACACAACTGCTAATCCATCAGTGCCAAAACCCTCTGAAAAATTGCATTCAAAATATGTATTAATTACGTTATACACTGAACTTTCTAGAATAGTTTTTGGAAGATCACAATCATCCATGTGCCTCTCTCAGGAGTCTACTGGGTTAACGTCAAGGTTTATCGTAAATTCAATCCATTTTGCGCCTACATTTAAAATATATCTGCTTGATAGGGGACAAAGTGTAAATAACAGAACACGTGTCTCTATGCTGACAGAACAAAATTTAATCCAGAGAAGCGCACTTTTAGGTAGTTCCAAAAGCCTTCCCCAGGCCTCCAGGAAAACATGACTTCTATCCAGCTAATTCCATTCATGGTATTCTACTGCCATGAAGAGTTTCGAACGCTCAACTTCAGGGCAGAATTTGGTCAATACTAGAGGTTTGTTTTTCCTGAACTCATTTATGCATATGCCAGCTAGCTAATAAATTTATCCATAACTGTATCAGCATATAACTCCACACAATGTATTTATAATAAACATTATAGAAAACCAATAAGTATAGTAGAAAACTAACCAATAAATCTCTATGCGAGTGACCAACTTTCTTCTTTGAACTGTGAGATTCACTGTAAGCATAACTCTAAGAATAAAGTTTAGAAAATTAATACCACTACATAACATGATCAATTTTAAAATACAAACAAGTTAAACATGAGGATTTAAGATTTTTGTTGCCTACAATGGAAAAAAAAAAACAAACAGAAAATTCTAACTACAGGATTAGAATAATAAGCCATATTTCTATCGCTGTGTAAAAAGGAACTGGTAAGTTGGCTATAGCCAACCTTATCTCTCATTAACAGAGACTTGGCTTAAGGCAGTGGTCACATTTCACAGAAAATGTAAAACCAATAAACAAACCCCAAAAGCTTAACATGACAGATTATTTTAAGCACTATATTGTGTCTGCTTATCTGTAGCGAAATCAGGTAACACTGCTGTTTAAATTCAGCTTTTTAAGTTGCTTACCATGTCCCTTTCAGTGGTGCTTGTCTTTGCTTAAGGCAATACACAGAGATCTTATTGGGCATGCCAATAAGAATGTGATGCACTCTACTATCACTTCATAACTATACAGATTGTTTTTTAAAGTAAACGTATACAAACCACCTGCTTTTTCTCAAGACTGAAATAATTTTCCGTTAAAGTTTCTATATGGAAATGAAGAATACAAATACATGCATACGCTTTCAGTGTATTCTCCAGTCTAATCTGTACAAGTCACTTCACTACAAAGTTTAGAAGTAACAGGTAAACACTAGAGTGCTTACTGTGAGACAGCTGTCTGTAACATATCACTTCATTAGATTTTCTCCCAGAAGTAGTTTATACATGCATTCTATGGAAAGTGTTAGAAACATACTGTATTCTCGGTCTGAAAGTGTGATAGTATAAATGTATATACTTCTTCAAACCAGTAATTCCAAGAAGCTAGTTAGTGTCATTACACCTTCAAAACAAAGCACAAAAGCAGTCTTCACTCAAAGACATGCAAAGTGTCAACATACAGGGGCCAAGTATCTTGCAGATCTATCCTTAGCACTGTCACACCGAAGTGAAAGAAAACGATACCAAAATTCAAGGTTTGAAAGGAACCAACCAAAAACCCCCAAACCCACAGATTTTTTGTTTTCCCAAATAAGTATAAAAAAGACCTCAGAGGAAATTATAAGAATACATATTCTACTAATGACAAAAACTTGTACATTAATGATTGTCATTTATTCAATCTAAAGGGCATTCCGAGGCTGGAATACTTTAATAAACGCACAAAACAAAACAAATTGAAGGTAGCTTTAGAAAATTACACGATGTCCTAACAGCATGTTAGAGCATTACCCAGTGTAATTTGCAACATGAGAACCACTGAGTGGATTACAAGAAAGGTAATCTCTTCTTGTCTGTTGATACATCTGAAAATTCCTCTAGAGATCAAATTAACACCAAAAATTCCCTGATTTTAGATTTCTTAATTTGTTTTTACATTAATATAGACCAGGTTTAGTTCTTATGATTTCACATTGGGTTTATATTATCTTAATAGTTCAAATATATCCAATATTCATACTATATTAATTTAATATTATGAATGCAATTTATAGACTATTACACCTTTTTGTGTTACTTAAAGTAGTACCACATGGAACCCATAGGTCAGTGTAGCAGCTTTAACCAACTTAACAATTTCTTCTTTTCTTTAAAGAGTTTTACTCTTCACTTTTTACCTACCAATAAGCAACCTTCATACTGGAGAATGGAAATAGAATACGTATCAGATGATTATCATCATCACAATGCTTGACTTGTAGCTGTAATACCTTTACTTCACTAGTAACGGCTTAACAGTTTACTAACAGATATTTAGGTTGCCTAAACTAGGAATACCACAAAATACACAGAAATACCCATTTCTGAAAAAGTAAAATTTGTTTGTATTCCAGCCTTAACTGCAGTACTACAATTGCAACATAACTGAGAAAAAAGGTCTCCTGCCATAACTTTCAGCAACGTCTTTGTATCTAGCAAGGCTGATGCAAAATCTGTGCCATTTCACTTTTTACTTCTCTTTTGGGGCCATTAGAAGAGACTTGAGAAACTAATTCCCTTCAAACTTTAAGTTACCTTCAAGACAGAACACTTATCACTTAAAATTTTTTCTAAGCCCTCGAACTTGCAATCACTGTTGGACTACATGAAAAATGACTTCAGGTGAAGTTCCCGATGACCAGAAAAAGGAAAATAACACCCATTTTTAAGAGGGGGAAAATGGAAGATCCAGGGAACTACAGACCAGTCAGTCTCACCTCTGTGCCTGGCAGGATCATGGAGCAGATTTTCCTGGAATCCAGGCTAAGGTACATGAAAAAAAAAACAAGGTGACTGATGACAGCCAGCATGGCTTCACTAAGGGGAAATCCTGCCTGACCAACTTGGTGGCCTTCTACGATGGGGCTACAGAACTGATGGACAGGGGTAAAACTGACGTCATCTACCTGGACTTGTGCAAAGCGTTCGACACTGTCCCATACGACATCCTTGTCTCTGAACTGAAGAGACATCAATTTGACGGATGGACCACGCGGTGGATAAAGAACTGCCTGGATGGCCGCACACAAAGAGTTGTGGTCAATGGCTCAATGTCCAGCTGGAAACTAACGAGTAGTGTCCCTCAGGGATCGGTGTTGGGACCGATCCTGTTCAACAACTTTGTTGGTGACATGACCTCTCAGCAAGTTTGCCGATGACACCGAGCCGTGCAGTTCAGTTGATACACTGGAGGGAAGGAATGCCATCCAGAGGGACCTTGACATGCTTGTGAGGTGGGCTGATGCCAACCTCATGAAGTTTAACCATGCCAAGTGCAAGGTCCTACAGCTGGGTCGGAGCAATCCCAGGCACAGCTACAGGTTGGGCAGAGAAGAGATTCAGAGCAGTCCTGCGGAGAAGGACTTGGGGGTGTCAGTCGATGAGAAAATGAACACGAGCCAGCTTCAGTGTGAGCTCGCAGCCCAGAAACCAACTGTATCCTGGGCTGCATCAAAGGAAGCATGACCAGCAGATCAAAAGAGATGATCCTGCCCCTCCAGGCTGCTCTCGGGAGACCCTATTTGGAGTACTGTATGCAGTTCTGGTGTCCTCAACATAAGAAGGACATGGAGCTGTTGGAGCATGTCCAGAGGAGGGCACCAAGAACAGTAAGGTGGCTGGAACACCTGCCGTATAAAGACAGGCTGAGAAAGTTGTGGTTAATCAGCCTGGAGAAGAAAAGGCTGCATGGAGACTTCATAGCAGCCTTCCAGTATCTGAAAGGGGCCTACAAGGATGCTGGAGAGGGACACTTCATCAGGGATTGTAGCAACAGGACAAGAGGCAATGGGTTCAAACTTAAACGTGGGAGGTTCAGGTTAGATAGAAGGAAGAAGTTCTTCCCTGTGAGGGTGGTGAGGCACTGGAATGGGTTGCCCAAAGAAGCAGTAAATGCTCCATCCCTGGCAGTGTTCAAGGCCAGGCTGGACAGAGCATCAGGTGACAGGGTCTAGGGTGAGGCATCCCTACCCATGGCAGGAGGTTGGAACTGGATGATCTCAAGGTCCTCTGCAACCCAAACCATTCTATGATTCTACACACCACTGCAGCAGTTAATTACCAATTAATTACATCTTCTATTAAGAAGCATGCTTTCACCAAAACACTGCTTTGGTAAGTAGACACAGAAAATGTTATATGAACACATCAAAGCACGCTCATTCCAGGCTACACACCGCAAGATCTCTCCTCCTGGAGGTACTTGCTCTGCTCCTGTGAGAGCCACTGACATCCAAAGGACTCTTAAGAATGAAATTATAAAAATACGTAAATATGTAATTTTAAAAACCCCTAAATCTTCACTGAAAGGCACAAAATAACCAAGGCAGTCAAAGATATTCCAGGTAAATCCCCCAAAAATGAGCTCAGTCAAGGGTGAATTACTTAATCTCCACCTTAGCAAATTTTTTATGTTAACCAAGGCAAGAGCAGCTGAGCACCAGCTAAGAAGTTTGTAAGTGATATCACATAGCATATTTTATATGCTTTTTCCATAAACCATTTACTGTTTGCAAAGCAGTCAACACTACTGGATTTAAATGATTTGGTGAACATATTTGTGTGATAAATGATAGGAATCCTTAACACTTGCAAGATGTGCAATTCAGTTCATCAAAGATAACACCTGATTGCCAAAACTTCTCAGTAAGTGACAATCACCTGGGGTTTTCTGAAGTCACATAAGGGAACAGCTTGTTCCACCTTCTAAAATAAACAAACCCAAGCCTTTTATTTTAGTGGTTTGTCCCCCTCCTGGCCTACATATCCAGATCAAAGACAAGCTGATTTTTAGGCAGCTTCTAAAAACAGGTAATTGTTTACAAATGCTCAGTAAAACCATTCTTTAGCATCATATGTGACCTAGAGAGATTATAAGAGCCGAGCCAATAAATATTTCTGTTAGCAGCTTTCAGAATACCTGGCATCATTCAGTTAAGTCTTTGTCACCAATGAATAATGTATTCTCACATTCTCAAAGAAGTAAAAAATGGCATCCTACCAAACTCTTTTTCAAATTGTGTACTTTTTTCTTCCAGAAATATTACAGAAACCCAGCAATACTTAAAGAGCAAGAAAGGACACAATAATGAGCAGATGAGCATCAGCATCAGTTTAGAACGAAAGCCCATGTTACAGATCAGTATTCCTTATCTTTAGCAGGTGGCACTGATTCAGGATCCCCGAGTCAGTAGAAGTATTTACTTTATCAAATACCATTTTCTGTTCATGGAATTTCTGACATAGGGAAAAATGGAAAAGAGATTTTTTTTTTTCTCATTAGACTTATCTATCAAGACCAGTGTTTGACCATTAATAGCACCTTCACATCTGACAGTGAGATTTAACGCGTAGCAGCAATCATAAGACAGTTAAAAACTTAGATAGAAATCTTAATCTCCTACCCTTCCAAGACAAGCCAATTAATTCTTACTAACTGGCAATATCCGAAGCCTAAGTCATTACTATTACCCAGTTTTTAAAGAAAGAAATGAAACACATTAGACTGGAACAACACTGAAAGATGACACTTAAACCTCAACATTAAATATACGTTATACCAAATAACTGTTGAACTACATATATTTCCAAAAACTTATTCAATTATTTTCAGCAACAAAACTATACTGTAAATAAATATGTGCAGTAAAGGAAAAAGAAGCACAAGGTACTCACAGTAAAAACAGTCAATTAAAACGTGACACCAGATTCTTTTGAAATGTAAAGATGCTCATATATAAAAATAAACTACCTTAACACTGATAGAAATAAACACCAGATGAACTTTAACATTACGTGTGACAAAACGTTAACTCTAAAACTGCTAAAACTTGGAAGAGTAAAAAAGCATCACCCATCCTTAAGAAAATGAAACCAAAACAAAAAACTTTTTTAAAGGCCATGATGGGAAAGCATACAGTTTGAACACAAACCAAATATGAATGTCGACTGGACCGCTGAGAATACCTGGCCCTCTCTGAATCTTCCTGAGAAAGAAGAAATGCAGAATTATTTCATTTAATAAAAAAGAAGATGACAAAGTAAAAACAAGCAAGGGCAACATGCTGTTAGCACCTGTAATGCTGTGTATTATTTTGAATAAAACACTGTGGCAAGTGAACCTATTCAAGTCAGAAGAATTGTGATTTCACCTTATGAGGATGGGTATGCCAACATACTACCTCAGGTGATGTAAATAAGGGGGGTTAATATAGTTAATAATTAGTGTCCAGTAGTCAATCTTTCTTCTGATTACTATATTAATGCAGGAAAAAGTACAAGATTTTTAAAATTATGACACCAAAGTAAAAATTAAAGAATTTAAAAGCATTACAAAATTACATTAGTAAGAAATCTACTATACTATTACTAGAGTCAGATTGTGAACATTTTACAAAGTCGTTTAAGCCCTAAGAGATTATCTTTCCCAGTTCCCTCATACATATTTCAGATTTTCTCCTCTATTCTAGGAACAAAGCTTCTTAAGCAAATAGATCAATTAAGTTCTATAGGTAGTTCTGCTCTACAATGACAGTGAAAATAACAAACCCAACTTATGAAATTTGGGGGAGGACAACTAGCTAAGGCACCTCAATACCTTTTGTTCTGTTGAAAGATCAGAGAATGCTAATTTTGGTTCACAAAAGGAACATAATAAAGCAGGACAAAAATACAAGTAATTTAAACATCAAAACGTTTCACGTGCCATAAGCTTCTCAAATTTTTAGTTACAGTATGTAAGCATGTTATGAATAACCTTAATTTTAAACTATTCCACTTGGGCTCTAGAACGAAAAACCCTTCTTTAAATGACTCACTTCCTACAGTTTTCAACATGCAAACTATTCTAAAGACTGTAACCCAATTATGTCTAGGGTTCAAAGCTCAATCTCCAGATGACAGCTGGATACCTAAAGTCTGGCTTTCATACTGCTTATGGTCCCTTGGTTATTTTCTACAATATCACTGGACACACGTTTAATATTATTTTGTAACTATTCAAGGGGCCTATTTAATACTCCACAAGCAGATAATTTCCCCAAAGCAGTGGGGGGAAGAGAGGTTCATTTCAAGACATTTTAGTCTTCCTCTCTACGGTGTCTATTTTGAGGTTTAAAATGAACATTTATGCTCTATAATCTTTCAACGCATCATAAGCAAATCACTGCCAGTTTTAAATACAGTTTGTGCCTGTGGTCTGAATGGACAAATACCTGTTAATAACATCTGCGGCTTTCAAGCAGTTTGCTATTTATATAAGGTTCCTCTTAAGTGATGGTGTAACACCCCAGGTAATAATATGGTCCTAATAATGCAGAACTTTAGCTTCTGATACAATTTTCTGTAGGTAATTTACATAAGGTAAAAAGTCTCTTCCTGAAATACAATTAGAAAATAGAAAGCCAGTGTTCAGCATATTCAGGCTAAAGGATAAAGGAAGTACTATAGCACATATTGCAAACACAGCTGCTGCTGCTAGCGATCAAGCTTGATTTCAAAGAATTCAAAGTTTAAAAAATGCACTTCATATAAAACAGAGCTTAGGTCTCCTGATCCAGGAAAGGAGTGCTCAGAAACCTCCTGCAGTTGTGCAGCTGCCTCTTGAGAATGCAAAAAGAAGGTGGCATTAATTTTGAAGTGAGATTGCTCACAGATGTAATCTGTCTTCCATAGTTTGGGAACCCTCACTCTCCAGGAAAAAAGCATTCAAATGTGCATTCCACCAAGGGATAACAGGAACCTATGTCACTCTTTATAAGTGACATGAGAACTAATATATACACAGATGTCAGCTAGACAAAGAAACAATATAAAGTCAGTATAACTTTTGTTGTATATATGAAATTCTAATGACAGTTCTAGGATCTCCCAACAGAAGTGCTGATTAACTGTCATGGTAGTTTTAACTACTTGAAATTATGGTTAGTCTCTGCTTGTATTATTTAAATCTTCTTGATTCAAAATATCCACAGCACAAACGCTTCCTTGTAAACATAAAAAGAGGCTCATCTCCCATGTGCCTAGAAAGGAACTCTCTAAGGAAACATTGCACTAAATTAGTACAAACTGAACAGCAGCTTTCTCATACACTAACTCAACTATCTCCACTCCTTCCTACTTTGTGGATTTAATCTAAATAAATGAACAGTCAAATACTTTTTCACTATTCACTGAATAAGACGGTTAAGAGTAAAAGAATGGAAGTGATGCATGGGGTGGCAGGGTTACTGTCATCCCCCCACCCCCCCTTCTTTTTAAATCTTTTAGAATTATTTTTGTAAATCACAGAAGATACTCAGTCATAAGTGAAAAGACCAGCATTGCCATGTTACCCAAAGAGGAAACAAATAAATGAAAGTCCACTAAGAAAAACAAGTAAAAACCCCAAGCCTCACAAGTTAAGTACAATAAAAACATTTCACTGTTGAAAAGATGTTTAGCTAGATTGAAACTAAGGTGATTTGATTTTCAATATTCATGACTTCAAGCCAGCACATGGTGGAAACAAAAAGCCCACTTGATTTTTAAGAAAAGCATCTCATTACATAGTTTGCCTTTTGCTGCCATAAGGTACATTGCATCTCCCCTTTCACATATAGTTTAGACGTAACTTTTTCCAGTAATAAAGCATTTGGAAAAGACACACCACAAAACATTAGTAAATTACTTCCTCCAACTCTCGTGTTAGCTCTCTGAGCAACAAACCCATGCACAACAGGTGGTTTTAGCCTACCATCCATTTCTGGATATGAGCCCATTTTCTATCATATAAATGCTGAGAAAGCTACAGAATGTAAAAACAAAAAACAAACAAACCATTTACAATATAGATTGGACATGAGACTAGATTCTTAAATCAAAAAGTTGAAAAACACCCAAGTTAATTGCTAAGGAATAGTCAGTATAATATCAGATACCTACAACAGTTCGAAGAGTGACAGTACAGAATAATGACAACCATGTCAAAAATTGAGGCAAAATCATGGTTAGTGAACGGCACTTGTTATTATCACAGGAAAAAAAATAATAAAATCAGTATTTACATGGATTTGAATATAATCATGATAAATAATAAAGTCTCAATTTTTTGCATCTATGTCAAAACCTGAACCATGAAATAATCAGACTGCTGAAAACCTAGTTCCTAGGGGTTTTTTGCTCAAGAAAATCAAACTTCTTTTTAGGAGAAATACAGAACTACAAGTGTAAATATTAGCTCTTTGTTTTTGGTTGTTTTTTTGTTTTGTTTTTTTTTTCGTAATAAAGATCCTGGCAATAGCTATTTGTTGTAAATACTTTTGGTATAATCCATATGGGAAGAAATTGACTGAAAACTGCATATCCAAAGTCACATATCCAAATTAGCGTTACTAAGTATATTATAAACGCATTAAAAATTCTCTCTTTTTTTCACAGTAGTTTATCCTATACATTAAGCAGTGGTCACATGTGAAAAGGTCACATTTACTATCTATCCTGTGCTGCCAGTTATCCATATTTACATGGACCTTTTGCACAGCAACAAGCAGCAAAGAAACTGCCTTAAGTAACTGCTCTTATAAAAGCACAGGAGTCACCAGCTAACTCAGACACAAATATTGTCATTCAAATCCAGACAATATTAAACTTCACATTAGAACTTGAAAACTGTTCCTCTCTATGCAGAATTACTTATGCAAGCCCGAGTTCCGACACTATTACCATTACCCTCTCTTCTGCTTATTTCAATCAAATAAGCAGTAATAGGAAAGCCTCAGCCCTTTAAATATCTAAAGATAAACATTTAGATTAATCTTTGTCCAATTTTGATTGCTAGCATTGAACTTACTATATTTGTTAAAGGTAAAACATCCAAACATTTGATTGTGCCTCTAAAGTTAGAATTTAAAAATCACATGAAAAATGTTTCATTTTTCATATGAAAGAAGAGCAGCAAAAGCCTATTTCATATAGCATGTTTTTTCTACAACATGAGTGAAACTAGTAAGAAAGTTGAAAAACAATGGTCACATGAAGGTTTTGTGAAGTGCTATCCATAGGTAAATAAAAAGCAAATCATCCTTTCAAATACATAACCCAAGAGGGAAGAGGAAGGGATGGGGCAAGAGAGAGCAGCTAGCAGTTGCCTGATGCTGAAAATACTCAGTATGCAGCTGAATTGCACCAAAAGACAAAACCTGATGCAAGTTGCATTTAGAGTTGTGCTAAAGGTTTGCAACAATTTCTGATGATTTACATTACCTCTTTTTGCTGCCGCTCCAGCTCTCTCATACGTATATCTCTTGCTTCTGCTCGAGCTGCCCGTTTGGCTGCAAGCCTGGCTTCTGCCTACAAGTAAATTGGAAATACTGAAAGTTACAGTTTTTTTTTGCATAATGGTTTGAGTACTTAATAATATCTTCATAAAACCACATTAGGATTACTATTTATATATATTGTGATGTTAGAAAGAAATCCGTTCTCAATGAAATTCAGAAAAAAACCCTTCAGAACTCCAAACACCCAAAACATTTAATTTTACACAACTTCTTAAAACTGTAAACTTCAATTAGTTTCAAATAGTGTTTTGCTTTTGGTTAAGGATACATCTTTCCTGATTTTGTCACTATCACAGCATAATTTATGTAAAACATAAGAAACCTATGAAATTTGTGACAATTGCAAGTAACTGTCTTCTACCGTGCTTCAGGAAAAAGGAGGGGATATTTAACACAGTTCTACTTTACATGGTGACTAAACTACAGGTACAAAAATATCAAATAATGACAAGAAAGAATGCAAACACATTGCATCTTGATTACTTAAAACAGTTTGCTTTAACTTCAAATGACTCTCATTAAGACTTTTTCTATATTATGCACACATAGATGAAATTATTCCAAGTCTGTGTCAGCACTCTTGACTGCCACGATGCAATCCTTTTTCCAAGCAGCATAAAGCTACTCTTCTTCCTACCTGATGACAGCACACAAGAAGAGTAAGGGAATTCCCATGCAACAGGAAGTCCTTTCTCACTTGCAGCCCTACTCTGTAAATTGACTGTAATCACAGTTCTGTGGCACATAAACTTCCACATAGGCATTTATGTGGCACAGAGAGAGAAAGAACTCAAACAGCTTACATGTCTAGGTTTAGTTCTGTCTGTAGCTCAGCAGATATGCACATCTAGCCTTTAGACTTTGGCAAGGCTTTAACATCTATGAACACTAGTATTTAATCAAGACAGAAAGCTCATTTGTTTACTGATCCATACTAAAAAAACAATTCACATTTCACCACTCTCCCTCACTCCTACAGCCAGAGACCTAACTTTTACATTCCTATAGTAGAAGCAGAAATTTCATTTTTTTCCAATTTACTAAACCCTTGATAAAATACAGGGGAATTCTAAAAAAAAAAAAAAAAAAAAAAATCGCCATCAAAATCAAACCATCTCATCTTTTCAGAGAAATTTTTTAGTAAAAAATGGTTTGGTGTTAATTATTAATCTGAGCAACCATATTTCTCAAAAAAGTACACAATTTCAAAAAGATAAAGAAGCCAGCAAATTAACTGAAAGCACAGCTCTTGGGCTTAGTTCACCAAACCCTAGAGCAAGAGACAAACTGTATTACCATTTGATAGGCCCTCATACCCAATAACTCTTTATTCTCAGCAGAACTGTTAAGAAAGCAGACCTTGTTATTTATAGAACACTCAAAAATCTTGGTAACTATGCCATTCTAATTCCATTAGCCTTTGAATTGAAAAACATTCCAAATACAACCCTTATTCCTTGCTATGAGGAGTTTGGGAGTCAGTTAGGATTGCTTGCCAATGTTTAACTTTCATTAAACAAATTTCAGTTCTAGAAAACTACCAACGGACTACTATGGTCTTGATTTCAGTTTCACGAGACAATCTCTATTTGTTATTTGGAAAGGCAGAACTTTCCACAGGACAGGAGAAACCATCTTCTATACCAGTTGGCTTATACTCTTTGTCAATCTAAGAAAGCTAACAGCTTCACAATATCTCACTTGAGACACTGAATAATATGGAAAGTGCACTGCTTCCAGAAAAAGGACAGACAGATCCCTGTCCCTGGATAAGTACATCACCTTTACTATTCCTTGGTTTCAGAAAGCACAGGGAATTCAATGCCAGGAAGGATAACACACAACAGAATACAAAGTGTGTCCTAAAGAAAGAGGTCTGGTAACTCAGAAGCTCTTGGAATAAGGCAGTAATTCGCTCTGATGTGGATGTGCTTTGTTTAGTGCAGAGGCACTGCAGGACAGCTTGTCTCAATGCAAACTCCCACAGCAAGAAAAACTTATAACTCTCCATGAACAGTGCCAGTCCTATAAGGAGTGAAGAGAGGAAAGATGGAGAAAATGAAAGAAATCTCACAAAGAGGAAGTACTTTAACCAAACCCTTCACATCTTACAACAGAGCCCTTACCTTCCATTTTCAAGACATCTCAATCAGTGCAAAAAAATCAGTACACAGAAACAAATTTATTGGATCAGTACCAAAGAATTTTTTACACAGTTTTCTAGAACACAGGTATTTGTTGGTACCAAAAGGAAGAGATCAGATTTTTTTTCACATGTCCCATAGAACAAGGAAATCACAATTTTATCAAATTAGTGCAGTGAGAAAGAATCAGATTAGTGCTTTCTGAAATCTGAACATTTGGAGGAAAAAACCCTGAAGCTTCATACACTACACTAGGATTTTTTGCTAGTATTACAAACCCCTACAATTCCTAGTGCCATTTTGTGACTGCTCTGAATACCAGAGCACTTCTATGCAGTTCTCCCACGCAGATGATCCCGAGTGCCAGTCTTACATGTTCAGCGTATTCTGTTCAGCTTCTCTTAATACCTAGAACACCTTTTAGGAATGTTTTCCTCAGAAGACATCTAACTTCTGGATTATGGGACTCAATTCAACTGCTGTAAGCAACATCTGCTAAAAAGGTAATTTCAGAACAGGAAGCTGAAGAACAAAACACGTTTTGACAATAAAAAGATAAGTAAACCATGTTGCAGAGATAATGGCCCCAGAACAGCAAAGTACATCTACTCTATATATTCAGGCACTGACAAATGGCATGCCTTATGTCAGCAGGGTAACTCAAAATTTCCCCAGCCTCAAATGATAAGGTATATGCACAGGAGAGTAAAATCAGATGTTATTTAAAGACAGAGCTTAGTTTTCTTAGCTAGCCTCTACTGTTAGAGCCCAAGAAATGCATTCTGTTCCTTTAAACTAAAAGTCGTCTTTAGAGTAAGTTAGCTAATATGAAGAATTACAGCTACTAATTCAATGACAACAGCTGCTGTCTGACAACAGATCTGAGGGCCAGCTTCTCCTACACAGACTGAGGGATTAACAACCTGACAGCAGTACATATTGTAATAATACCATATTCATAATGAAATACAACTACACATTCTATTTTAAAATTGGGGAACAATTTTAAGACTTAAAGTGCAGCCTGGGTATGGCAGCAGAAAAGAAGCAATGGTGCTATGCAAAGCCTCAAAAACGTGTATACAAAGGCAACAAACCATTTAATTCTGAAATATGTTGAGTTCTCTTCTCCCTAACAAGCCATGAAAGGTGACCCTCAAAACCCACAAAAGTGCCAGAATATTAGAAAGGGAAAAAATAACTCCAATAAGAAAATCAGAAGGAATATTTAGAACAATCCAGATAGGTTTTAATAATTACTAATAAACATAAAGCAGTTAAAGACAATATGAAATGCCTAACCCTTAAATGGTATGCTGATTACTGTACAATTTTTAGTTATTTTAATCAGATTTAGATTAATATCAGAATACTGAATGAGTTTCATGAACTTTTCAACAAGCTGTCTACCAGCTCATTTTTGACAGAAAAAGAGGGAAGACTTAATATACCTTAATCCCTGGAACAGGCATATTCAACTCTTACCTCTGCAAAACAACACCTCTAGCTGTGAGACCTCTTATTAGTTTAACTTAGCATTAAGGGGTGGGGGGGGAACCTTCACAGAATCACAGAATCAATGAGGTTGGAAAAGACCGTTAAGATCATCAAGTCCAACCATTCCCCAGCACTGCCAATGCCACCACTAATCCATGTCATTGAGGGCCTCATCCACACAGTGTGTGAACACTTTCAGGGACAGTGATTCTACCACTGCCCTGGGAAGCCTGTTTCAATGCCTGAGCACTCTTCTATGAAGAAATTTTTCCTAATATCCAATCTAAACCTCTCCGGCACAGATTTGTTCACTTTTGTTTAATTTACACTTATGCTCAAATTCTAATTGATGGGGTTAGAGATGTAAGAGAACAAAGCCCCAAAGTAGTTTTAGGTAAGATAACACTTATGACACCTTGCTATTGAGATCTTTCTTTCTAGGCTAAGTTGCAAGCTGATGTTATTATACTGGTACCATGTGGAGAATACTCATAAGAAATTAAAAGCTAAATTCCTTCCCCTTTGTTAACTATTCTCCCCCAAAAAAATGAGATAGAACTTGAGAGTGAGACAACACATGACCCTAAGCCCCACACAGAACATATCTGACAGGGCAAGAACTTCCACCAGGCTTGGTGAGAAAACAGCTTTCTGGAAAGTTACCAACTAAATAAAAATATTTTATCTTTGCTGACAGACCATTTCCTATGCCTACAGCCTACAATGGCTGCATCTGAAAACATTTTTCAAAGATCTATCACATACACACTTTATAAACACAAGTATATGTACTATACACACACATATATATAGACAACAGTTTACATTACAAGGCCAATTAGAATCTGCATTTTGCACTCATTTATGCCAAGTATGATAAGCAGCTTTGTAGATGTCTAGCTTAAAGCTCCTGTATCCACTTGTATACAAACAGTGCTAAGGCTTCTGTTTCCAAGTGGCAGCACTTCCAGAAAACCTCAACTTCAAATAGGTATCTGTAAGACCCTAAATTCTGTCTGCCTCCTTCCTATATCCGGTGGGACAAAATTCCCCTTTGTATGAATTTCTTGATAATTGCATTTTTGACTGCTTACCTCCAGCTCTGTTTTCAGGTGGTGAAGCTGTTAAGAAAGTTCTGGTATGGTATACATACTAGGCTTATTTTGACAGAAACGTGACTTTTCACATTTGAAATAGAAATGCATTACAGATATCTTTTAATAATGACAACTGCTCATCCAACACTAATACACTATATTCACCACATACTGCACACTGCAATGGGATAAATTTGGATTTTTTTCTTTCTTTTTTAGTTTTAGACCTGAGATAGCAACTGGATTATTCATTTATCTTTAGCTAAAATACATAACTATACGCAGAAATATCTGCTAAGTTTAAAAGTGATCTTGGTAATTTGCACTTATCATAAAATTAATCTCATTATATAAATATTTCAGTAAACATCTTATTAAAAATACTCTTAGTTTATATTAGTTGGCATATTTTTGGCTAATTACACTTCTTAACGCTCATGTTAAAAAGTACTTTTTCTGGATAATGAGACCGCTTTCATCTGAATTTAAGAAATTGGAAATGAACCAACCTCTCTGGCAATGTTACTCAGAGCTTCATCTTCTGCAGAAAACCTGTCTTTCACAGGAGTTCTCTTCCGTCCTGACCCAGGAGTTCCCATTTTTATTCTCTGGTTCTGTATTTGCAAAAACAGACAGGAAAAAGATCAGTTTTCAGATACAGAATTAAAAACAAACAATTCACACCACAAACTGTAATAAGCTTCCCCATTCTTTAGCTATGTAATACCTCAAAAACCTACATGACATTGGCATAAAGTTATCCAGCTGCTGTATTTCTAGGAAAACTTTATCACAAAGCCTTGTGGCAGCTTTACAGAACACCACTGCATCCCACAAGGTACATACTCAACATTTTTCTGCTAGACAGAACTCATCAGTTTACCTACAGGTTCAAAGTTATGCACAGCTGTCAACTGCTCCTTGCTCAGTGATAATACCTATATATGCTGTTGCTTTTCACAACTCCTAAAAAAAAAAAAAGTATCCATTTAAATTTATGGCTGTGAAGAAAACCTAAAGGTAACAACAGGTTCAAGAACTAAACTTACAAGATCAGTCCCTATAGCTCTCAAAACCAAAAAAAGAGAGATTCAGTAGACAAACTTCAAAGCATCCAAGCAGGTAGCTGTGGTTTATTGACACTGTAATGCAGCTGTTCTCATTCATCTGCAACTGAATGAGATATGCAGTCTTCTACTAACGTAGAAGATTAACTATAGTAGAAGTAAAGATGTTTCTAGACAAAAATTCTTTTGCCTAAGAAGATTCATAATCTGGGAAATAAGAGAAACATGCTAGTATCATATACCCACTATAATACATAAAATGCCCTCTTACTCTTCTTCCAGAAGCCTCTGTTACTAATGGCAAGGATATAAAATTCACCACCAAAGCAAAATATTGTGCATACAGCCACAGACAACAGCATATTACTCAATCTAAATTAGTGTTTTCAAATACCCTAAAGAAGCCCTACTTCCAGACATCCAGTTACTTCCAAAAGTCAGATCAGAATTTGGTGATAGTCCAGCTATTTGATATAAACAAGATAAGTATCCCACATAAGGCTTGGGTATACACCTTATTTTGAACAAGATTTTCTTCACAAAAATAAGAGGTCTAAAAGGGAACTGCTACCCTTTAAAACTAACTAGTGCAAGAACTATCTTTCATACTAGGTCTTATCATCAAACATTCACGAATTCCTTACAGTTTAATCGGGGAGAGGAAGTGTGTGTGTGGGAGAAACATGATGGGTATTTTTGTGCAAGCAAAGCTTTAAGTTTATTATTTTTTTTACACAGCAGTCACAAAGCCAAAATATATTGGGGTACTTTCTGGCACACGAAGATACCAAGTAGCACCATGGCTTTTTTTGTATTTTAGCTTCCATACTTCTTCCCCCTTTATAACTTTATGTCACTAGTCCTCTCTTCTCCTTGCAGGCAGGACGCCTTTTATCCTGCTTCAAATTCTGCAGGTATTTTACTGTTCTTAATGTGCTCAGACAAGAAGAAACAGGTATTTGCTGATGAGACAAATGACAACAAAGATTTGAAACTAGATGCATCCCCCTCCTTCTTAAAAGCTCCTGCATAGCAAAGATACAATTACGCAATAATCTTATTCATTTCCAAGTTGCTATTCTGAGACCAAAGCTGAACATACTCAGTATTGCAGGTGCACAACTCCTTCATTGTGTAAATACCATAAAGATGACCTTACAGTGTTTGTAGATCAGTAGCAGAAGAATAAAACTGCAGTATCTGAAAGCAACACAGATGCACTTCTATCATCCATTAATGAACACACTCCTGATGGGGAAGAGTGGACATAAGTACCCCTGCTGGATTCCATCCATTCCTCCACAGGCTGCTCGTTCATTCTGCAGTACAGAGTGTTTGGATAAAATAGAGGCATTTGGACCAACACACAGGACTCACCAGCCAGGGAGCGTTTCTGCCATCTGCCTGCAGCTAATGGTTCAATTTATTTGTTACTCCCCCACAACATGAGGTTTTTTTGCTACTGTTGTTTTTCCTTTATTCTGGTGTTAGCAGCACACTTTCAGGAAGAAACACAAGATTCCAGTCCCACTCTTATCAGTGGCTGGGATGGGTCTTGGAAGTAGGACAGCAGAGCTCAAAACCAGGGTGAAGAGAGACTCTGAGATAAGGCCCAAGACAAGTATTCCCACTGTTAATCCATTTGGTAAAAGTCTCTCTGTTTAGTCTCAAAAACAAGCAAGCAAACTTATCTTTTGTACTCAGACTGACTTATACATACATACATATATATATATATATAAAAATGTGTATATAAAAATATGCAGAAAGTAGTTTGGAGACCTCTAAGGCAAACTCAAGACCCAAGTCAGTAACTGCTAGGAATTTTTCAAAACTCCAGTAACAATGGTACCATTCCACTCAGGCTATGATCAAGGGAAGGAGTGTTCCAGGGCTGTCAGGGGATGACTGATTACCCCTGCTCTTTCTTTCCACCTTAGCCAGACAACAGGAGCCCCTAGTACAATCAGTGCTTCCCTCCTTAGACTCACAAAAGCTCCTGGTATGGTTAAGGGACACTTCAGCACCCAATACATTACACAAAGGGAAAGGCCTGTCAGAAATTCCTGAGATCCTGAAGCAGCCCAGAGGATGGGGGAGGATGGACCACCACAATCCATCCCATCCTTGACACCAGCTGCATCTAAGCTCCATCAGGAATTTAGAAAGCAAGGGGGTCCAATCTGAACCTCATGAGTCAACACGTGTCTCCCTTACCCTTTGTGCCTTTGGTCTCTGTTCAGTTGTCTTTAGCTGAATTTTACCTCGATTTTGATTTGCATGCTTCATCCATGTAATATGCAATAGAGTGAACCCTGCCATCAAATCCTGCTAAGTTGTGCCTTTATAAATCATATTGAAATAGCTCTTGCTAATACCTTTGAGGGTTATTCTTTCAGTAACTACTCATTTCATGACACCTTTCTAAACTATAAAAGATGATAAAAGCAAAGTATGTTACAATCTTCAGCATTTACAGTTCAGAATTCCTGAGTCACACCTATGACATGTTTATTTCTTACTGCGGGCTGGGTCACATATTGTATTACATGACTGATAAAGTGACATCCTGTTGTATTTCATTCCAAACAAGTATATGAAGTCACCAAACAAACAAGAAGACCAGGAGGAAATCCCTTAAATTCCCTCTCATTTGTCTTTACTTCAGGCATACGTATGTTTTATCTCTCCCACAACTCTCTGCTGTCTACTCTTCTTCCTATTACCTTCTAACTAAATGTTCTCTTTGTTTCTTTCTCACTGTCTAGGAAAAAAGTGTGACCCATCTTACACAAAGCAGAAGCTACACTACAATTTAAGGTCCTATCACTCACCACCTTCAATGGCACCACCTGTTCTGATGCCTGGGTCTATGCCAGTGTATTTGGCATCACATACATGCAAAGCATTCAGATACTACAGTGTGAGCAGGCTATAAATAGACAGACTGAAAGTTCCCTTTTCTCTTTCAAGTAAAACTAAGAGGTAATTGAAATTCACCTACGAACAAGCAATCTCTGTATATTTGACCCAACATAGAAAAGAGCCCTGCCCTAGAACCACTCAGCCTCAGTTTACTAATTAATATTGGAATAAAAGCCAGCAGCCCTGCATTTCAAGTCCATAGCCACAAACAGCAGTTTAAATCTTTAAGGAAATAAAATTCTTTTAATCCTGAGAAGGAATTGCACCTTCTATCCATAATATCCATCCAAAGTTTATTGCATTCCCAGTTGTCCGCTTGCAAAGTTAGTTTTTATCTGCTACAGACCTTTAAATATCTGAATTGAGTGGACCACAAAGGAAGTTCTACAGAATACTGCAGTGGGGGTAACTGACCCTACTGCTGGTAATTATCTTTGACACATGATAAGACAGATAAACACTACTGGGAAGTTGTTCATTATGAAATATAATCTGATTAATTCTACGGTATGAGTACATAAACACCTAAGTTTGTTAGGGTTTTATGTGTCTCTTAAGAAACACGACATAGCACTAAACATTTTCTGAACAAACCTTAAAGATATTACAGAACATATAGTAATAATCTGTGTGATCGATTTCAGTTTCAAATTGATTCAATTTAAATTAGTGGCTAAATACTTTTTATTTCATAAGTACGGAAAGGCAGTGAAGCCAGCAGGAGAGAGGAACAGTAAAGCAGAGGAAGGCAGGAATTTCTTGAAATCAGAGTCTAAAAACTTGAAAGAGAAAGCTCAGTGAAAGTTACTTGAACAAACAAGGTCAGAAAAACATTAACAGATAAGGAAGATGAATGTAAGAAGCAGGAGTAAAAAATAAAACATTTATCACCAGCAAACCAACCACAGCTTGCTAATAAAGCACAAACAGTGGTCATTCATTTTGATTTTTGGCAGTTCCACAAATGTTAAATATAGTTCAAAATACGCTTGAAGTACAGTAAAAAGAGCAAAAGCTTTTTCAAACAGCTAACTAAAAAGAAAGATCTAAGAAGCAGGAGTGCTATGCCACAATGTTGGAGTTTAAATTAAAGAAACTAAATATACTTCATAACTGAACACTTGCTCTTTACTTCACATGAATGCAGCTGCTGAATGAAGGTATGAAAAGTACCATACCTACAATTAAAGCAAAGTTCTAAAAGTTTATGTGCTTGGAAGAACAGTGGAAAACCCAACCCAGCAATTTTAAAGAACTGTCTCATGAAACTACAGCTATAGCAACACAAAACTACAAACAACCCAGAGGTATTATTACTGTGAAACAGCAGAAGGAGCATTCATATTTGAGAAAGAGCAGAAAGACTCACATTGGAAATCAGAATCTTGTTTGCTTAACCTTCAGTGATTTGTCAAAGCAAATGCTAAAGACAACAGAAATAAATGGACATAGAATAAAAATACATTAATTCAGTTAAAATTAAGCAAGACTAACACAAGAGTCTTCCCCAGAAGAAGGGTATGCCCTTTGGAATTACTGTGTCTGTCCATGTGCCCAAAAGTACCTGAGAACAAAAAGGAGTTGCACGATCACAGTGCGATCATGACCCAACAAAGGAGCATGTGGGGAGCAGGAAAGGGAAATAAACAGGGTTTTAATGCAATAGTTTTAAGGACTCACTTAGAATTTTCATTTAGAATAACCTTGTTCTGAAAAAGATTAACTGAAACCAGAGCTGTTGCAAAAAAGAGCTGCTAATATGAGGAACAGTGCCTAACATTAAAGGGAAAAAGCAAAGACTGAGAAAAGCATGTAATTACTGTCTGCCAAAAGATTACAGTGCTTACCACTATGATGGAGGCAAAGTTATTCCAGTTCATGAATAGTGTTTCCATTTTAAAAAACCTGTTCATCTCTAATCACAGCCCACTTCAGAAACTGTTGGCACAAGGTTTCTGCTCTGAACAGACAAGCTGGTGTCAGCTTCTTCAGGAAAAGTTATTCTTTGGATAGCTGACAGCTCACAAGTGCGCAATCTCCCCTTTAATGCAGTATATTTGCAGTTTGTTTGCCATTTTAAAATCTGAGAAATAGAACTTCTCATGAGTTCCTGGTATTTAACTATAGAATGACAGTTCCCTAGTGAAGGTGGAAATCCTCAGTTTGTGTTACGAAGCTAGCGATTAACAGAAAGTCACCAGTTAAGACAACCAAAAAGCCATTACGGAGTCTACAGAAGTGTTGCCTGATGGAGCTTGTAAAGTATAACTGTGCCTGGTTAGGGCTGGTAAACTTACAGTAATGGAAAACAGTAACTGTATCAATGTAGCCTCCAGAGACACCAAGCTATCTTTGGTGACCTACCTCAGTCTTTGCAAACTACTGAAGTTCCAAGACAACATCATGCAGTGATACAGCTTCAAGCAGTGGTACTTATTTTATGAAGTATGAGTTCTCTGCCAGTCAGTTGCTAACAGCTGCACTTGCAGATACCATTATCTCACAAAATAAAACATTACATACAGGAGATTAGCATCAGTGGCAAGATGCATCTGCAGAGCTCTTACAATGGTCACTCAACAGAGGATCTCTCAGGGCACAATGTAAAGCATATGTATGTTTCAGAGAAGCAGTGCAACAGTTGGGACTTTCCTAGAATCAGTGCTACCACAAATGCTGAAGGCCCACAAAAAAAAAAAGAAATCAAACGTGATTTTAAAAATACAAGGAAATAACAGTACTAGAACAAGCACCATGGAATGCAGGACAAAAAGCAAAGCCACAAGAACCTTCAATAAGTGTTTATTCTGAAATGGAAGAACCATCACTTTTGCACTGTTGACTTTTTTCAAAATGAGTATCCTTTCCATCATTTAGCAAAGGAATGATTCAGTACTTATTAAAAAAAAAAAAAACCACAACAAAACACTGCTACTATATTGAGGCTCCATTTTTATTTTTTAATGAAACAAACAGAGAACCCCATGGTAACAACCCACGTTCAGTAACAAGCTGCAACTATTTAAGGTATTTTTCCATTACCAATTTAATACACTCCTACACCCTGTTCTACTACTGCTACAGCTACAGTACAACAAAGAAAAGCTACTGAAGAGAGCAGGACAAATTCTCCTGGGTACTCCCTTAGAGCTTTCTCCACTTGCTGTTTCTTCCATCAGCAGGCACCACTTCTGCTGACTATTCTCTGGTGTAGTAGCAGGCTGGTAGACATAGAAACACTTGGCCCCACTGACCCTTTGGGAGATGCCCCTCCACCTCTTCCCTGGAAGCACCTCTTAACTACATGCCCAAGAAAAAAATAGTAACTTTATCATCTTCACAAGCAGGCAGTACTATTTACAGAAACTATTTTTCAATGACATGTAATGCGTAAACACAGTGTCCATTACACTTAACGTGTTACTCACTTTTCAGATGTTCAAGATAACAGATTTTGATTACTTTCTCAGAAAGTTCATAGAATAATTTCATTACTTTCTCAGAAAGCATCTCTAACAATTTTTTTAATCACTACTGGACTGTACTGATCTATAACCATCACCACGCACCTTCAAATCAGGTTCTTACAAACTATCACTTAGTATCAAATCCGTTACTGGTTTCTAACCCTCTGCTGCCATTATATACCAGAAGTATTCAACTGTATACACCACTCTCCTTTTTTGGCTACATGAACATGCAGACTTCAACGCTATGTGAAAGTCTAGACGTCAACATGTTCTACAGATCCTCACTACTTGCAGCTCAATGTCAACAGCACTTTCTTACCGCTTACATGTGTTGAAGTATTATGCCATCTTCTGAGACAATGAGAGTCATTAAAGAAAAAACAGAAAGCTCATTTGGAGTCAATTCACAAGAAGTACTGATATTTAGGGCAACAAGCTTACACATGACAAATTTCATAGAAGCATAGAATAGTTTGGTTGGAAGGGACCTTAACGCTCATCCAGTTCCAACCCCCTGCCACGGGCAGGGACAGCTTCCACTAGAGCAGGTTGCGCCAAGCCCTGTCCAACCTGGCCTTGAACACTGTCAGGGATGGGGCAGCCACAGCTTCTCTGGGCACCCTGTGCCAGCGCCTCAGCACCCTCCCAGGGAAAATTTTCTGCCTTACATCTCAGTCTCCCCTCTGTCAGGTTAAAAAGCCATTTCCCCTTGTCCTGCCCTTGTAAAAAGCCCCTCTCCAGATTTCTTGTATGCTCCCTTTGGGCACTGGAAGCTGCATTAAGGTCTCCCCAGAGCTTTCTCTTCTCCAAGCTGAATAAACTCAGCTCTCTCAGCCTGTCTCCATAGCAGAGGAGCTCCAGCTCTCTGATCATTTCCATGGCCCTTCTCACACTTTTTCTATTCACAAGTTTTCAGCTACAGCCAGTAATTCAGTTCAGGTGAGTGGATTGACACTCCAAGGTAAACTTCTCCAAACCCAAGGAACACAAAACAATGGAAAAAGCGTATCACGTACATCAAAATATTATGCAATGCAAGAGTGCTTTTCATCTGTTCCTATATCATCACTAAACAACTACATTAAGCATGGAAGCAGACGTATATTCGGATAACTGTTTCTGGGCCCCAATACATTTAGTTACAGCACTTTACAGCCAAGACAATAAATGCTCAAAGAACTCACAACAGAAGTGTTGATTTAATTTTAGAGGTAATTTGTGTCCAAACCCCCACAGACCTCCAAAGATGTCTGATGCTAACACTGATACTTTAAAGAGGCAAAACTGATCCTGGACTTTTCTCATTTCAAGCCAAAAATGTCTGCAAGTGTCTCTAAAATGAGGGAGTCACGGAGTAGATCAAATTCAATGTAGTACTGCTTCACCTACAAAACGTTTTTATTATCGGTGAAATACATAACACTTCAAAGTATCATGCCAGGATTCAAACTGGAAATCACTTAAAACACGTGGAGCAGATCACAGCACAGTGCTCTTTCCAGGCTCCTTCACGAATGTGTCCATCTATCATCATTAACACTCTTTACGATCATAGCAGCAGGGCATACAAAGAAAACAAAATAAAAGAAACTATGGCCTAAAATAAAACAGAAAAGCCCAACTAAGCATCAGAAAGCCTGCCTGAACCATACCAAAACTCCACCGAATGGGCACGCCCTGCTTGCTGCTCTGGGGAACCGTGAGGCTGTGGTAACACGCTTCAAGGAAGTGCGAAAGACACCGAAATACACACAGGTGTGATTTCAGGTCATCTGCTTTTCTCTCCTTCCCTCTCTTTCTCCCCCTCATTCCGCCCTTTCCACTTAGTCCCGGAGGGTGAATGGCACCTTCCCACAGGCCTGCGGGCCGGGGGCGATGAATCGAGCTCGGCAGGCGGGAGGGAACAACCTTGCCGGAAGGGCTCGGCCAGTCCCGGCTTCGCCTCTCCGGTCCTGACAGCGGCCGCAGGGAAGGCGGCCGCACACCGCCGCTGCCGCCGTTACCGTTTCGCTTTCTGTTCTCCTACCTGGCGAGGGAGTCCCCGCCGAGCCGCCGTGCCCTCCCTGCTCCTCTAAACCCGAAGAACCGGGTTCCCACCCTGCTTCCCCACCCCGTCCGGGTTTAGATGTACATGACACCCTCCCCCCCGCCCGGCCCTCGCCCTCTTCTTTTCCGGGCCCCAGGGAGCCTTACCTGCGGGCCAGCCTGATGCAGTACCAGAACGCCTTTATAGAGAGAAGGGAACCGTTTCCTTCTCCCCTCCCCGCCTTACACGGGTGCGAAGGACTCGCGGGTCCAGGAACCGCCGCAGGCTCCTTCCTTCCCTCACTCCCCACGCCCAGAGTCCAAGGAAAGGAGGTAGAAGCCGCCCCAAGGTGAGCGCGGTGCCCGCCGGGCACGGACCATCCAGAGGCCGCAGCAAGGCAGCTGCTGCCTTTCTTCACCCTCCCGCCCCTTCCCCGACAGGGGCCGCAGGGACCGGAGCTTTGGCAAAGATGAGCCGCACCGCTCCAGGCCGCCCTCCTCCTCCCCCGCCCCGCGCTTTTGCCTCCTCCCCTTCAATGCTGGGCGGTTACCGCTGCACCAAAAACGCGGTTGGAAGCAGTGGTTAATTCGGAGCCGAGGAGGACGGAGTCGGCACCGAGAAAAGGGAGAGCGGGCGGCGAGAAAAGGCACACGGACACCGGCACCGGCCCTCAAGCAGGCCAGGGAGCCGCATTGCGCAGGCGTGGGGCTCGCCGCCAGGGAGGAAGGGGCGAGCGGGCGGTGGGCGCGCATGCGCGGGGCGGGCGGGTGCGGCCGCGGGGCGCTGGCGGGCTGTGGTATGGGGAAGAGGGCGTTGTGTCTTGAGGGGGCTTTACTGCTGAGGAGAGGTGCGGCCGCAGCGGACCCCGTTAAATGCGGTGCCGGAGGACAGACGTGCTTCTTTTTCCCTGTTCTGTATTCCTCAGTAGGCAGTGCAGGGAGGGGGCTGTGCTTTTTGGTGAGGAGAAGAGTGATGGCGCCCGCCGGCGGCCAGATCTCCGTCTCGGCCCGCCTTATCACTGGGTAGGCCGGCTGACTCACCGCTGTGGTGGGGCGAGGTAGGTCCGCGACCTTCTCCTTTGCGTTTGCTGCTCGGTTTTAGCTGAGGGTTGATTTTATCGAGTGGCGTTGCGCAGCGAGAGCCGCCGGAGGCTGCAGCCGCCTTCACAGAACCGGAGTGGAAACCGCCGCGCACCCTGCGAGCCCCGCCAGGCTGCACTTCCCGCCGCAGGTCCCCAGTGCGGTGTTCACCTGGCACTGGAAGCTTACGTGGATGGGTGCCAGGCTGGATGTGTGTGTGAAAATATCGCGCAAGTATTGACGCCTTATCTGGTACAAATGCGACGCGACTTAAGAACTATTAAAATACAAATGCAACCTAGTATCCTAATTCCTCAGGATAACATTCCTGAAGAAATTACCAGTAAGTTTATTCCAGTTATACGTAAGAGCCAACAAGTAAGTTAAGCAACAAGTGATGGGACAATGGGAAACAGCCTCAAACTGTGCCAGGGGAGGTTTAGATTGGCTATTAGGAAAAATTTCTTCACAGAGAGAGTGCTCAGGCATTCAAACAGGCTTTCCAGGGCAATGGTGGGGTCACCGTCCCTGCAAGTGTTCATGAACTGTAGATGAGGCACTTAGTGTTACTGTTTAGCAGTGGCCTTCGCAGTGCTTGGGAACGGTTGGACTTGATGATCTTAAAGGTCTTTTCCAACCTCGTTGATTCTATGATTCTAATGGGCATGAAAGTATTGGTGAGACTGCTGTGAAGCAGGCTTCAGATCAGATCTGTAGTCATTTGCTTTTCGATACCCCAGTCACTGAGTAAGAACTGTAAGAACATAAAGATGATAAGAGGTCCAGAGACTGCATTTTGTATGGTAGAACTCACACTGGAACAAAAAAAGCACTGTTAAATTTAAAAGCCCAGTGGTAGGACTCACGGGCATTCACCAGAGCCCTTGGCAGAGGTCAAATGTTTTACTAAAATAAGCTCAAGTGGATGTGCATAAAGAAAAAGGGACATGCAAGTGAATTAATTCTGTTATAAAACAACTTTGCTTAGTTTTGTTAGTATTTTATAACTTTGTGTCTAAGAAATCCTGTACTGTCTCAGTCTCTTTCCTCAGTTGATCATACAGCAGAGCCTCACCATGCTTATTTTTAACATCATGTTAATTTCTGTGTTGTAAATAATGTTCTCACTGCTGGGAGATGAAATAGGAAATTTCTCATAGAATATTATTAGGAAAGACCAAAAAACTAAAAGTGCTACAACCGACATCTTTATTTGAAGTATTTTCTTACAGAAGCAACCATCTGCTGATTTTTTGGACTTTATGAGAAGTCTTCATTAAAAGCATCGTGAGCCATTTTGGTTTGGTCTAGCTGGAAGGAGAGGTCATTTGTTCCCTCTTGAGTGGATGGTTTGTTTGGAACCTTCTGAAATCTGGGATGACACAGGTCTGTGTCGGATGATTGATTATCTGTTACATAAAGGGGAAATGTTTTCAATCATTTGTATGTTATTCTCTGATGAAGTGTTGGTATTTGCATAAGTTCAGTCTTTTGATACCATAGGCTGCACGATATTCTTTAAGACACAAGCTCCTTTAGAGCAGACAGGCATTTTTTTTTCCCCTTGAAAGAACAATTGTTCACTTGACTGAAAAGCAGTGCTTAGCAGTTACTACAGACAGTGGTACTGGATGTCACAGTGAAATTCCAAGTTCAGCATCATTGAGTAGTTAAACAGTCAAGTTAGATACAATTCCATTATAAACCTTTACTCAGAAGCCAGAAAACGAAGGTTATGTTTGAACTTCTGCTGTGAAATGGGTGCAGTTGCAAAATATGCGATTAAATGAGCCTGCCTTGAACAGATTCTTACTGAAGCTACTCTAAATCTTGCCTTAATAGTTTCTGCTGAAAATAAATAAATGAATGATCATTGAATCTTCCTTTAAATATTTTTTCTGTACATTGTTATTTTTTGTGTACAGTAGGTTAATACAGATTCTTTGACATACCTAATAGAACCTGTTGATTTACTCACTCCTTTCCCTTTTCTCTGAAAAGGTGTGTCTCAAACTCTTTTGCTTAGTTGGGGCATTTGTTTAGTGATGGAGACTTGATTGGTTTAACATAGCAGTCATTATTTATCATTATTGTCTATGATTCTGTATTTAATTTTCACAGAGCTTTTCATTGTTACTCTCTTGTAAAAACAAGATCCAAGTATCGTCCTTATAGACCTTATAGACCTGATAAATGTACTTCTACATGTCTTTACGTTCCATTTGATATATATAGAAATATTGATAATTTCCTGTGCTAAATATCATTCATGAAAACTCAGCCTGATGTCATGATCTATTTTTTCTGTGTTATATGTCCCCCAAAAGGGATTGTGTAAATGCTGATGGATTTTACTGATGATACACAAGCCATGTAGAGGAAATCACTTCACACTTTTATGCACTTGTGTTGAATTTGCAAAACTAAGGAGCAGTGTCTATATTAAGCACAAGTGCGCAAATGTGGATCTTTTAGTTTGTACTCATGTTTTCTTAGTTTTCTGATGTCCATTTTTTTTCATGTAGAAATGTCATAGAATATAAAGTTTAAATATGCCTTTTCGATACAGATTTTTTAACACACTAAAATCTGATGGATGTTTATCAGAACTCTCTTATCCCTGCTATCCCCACACCCAAATTATCTTCACCTACTACAGTGTTCCCACCAGTATACAGAGTTGAACATATTCATATATTCATATAAATAAGACATTCACTCTGATCTTTTTGTCTTCTTTAGAAAGTATAATTAAAATACGCTTTTATTTTTGCTTCCTACTGAAGGAACCACTACTTTACAGTTCTCTTCAATGTCAAGTGCACATTCTCCATGTAAGACAAATGGCTTTCTCTGAGCTACTTTCTAATTTTCTCTAGCAACAAAGTTAACCCTCTGTGAAAAAGGACCAAATGGGATAACTGAAAGTCAGAGAGAGGCTTCTTTTCCAGCAGTATCAAGCCTCTATGCTGCTTGCTGCTGCTTGGTGCTGCTCGCTGCTTCAAGTGTGCTCCTTCCCTGTTAGTGTATGTCTGATGTTAATTTGCATCAGTATTTGAAGCTGAGGGCCATGCAGCTTCATGAGGGTCGTACTTTCCTTCATACAAGTGCAGTTAAATGGGAGAAACAAATGACACAGGAATTTAAATGTCAGGCTGAGCTTTACTTTAAGAGAGTGTCAAATCTGCATATTGCTCAGAGAAGCTAATCAATGGTATCTTATTTGTAGACTTCATCACCATTGCTTTTGGTCAGTTTATTTTTACAGCTCATGAGCAGACACTGCCACTTCAGTCAATGGCAGCTATGGATGCTCAGCACTGCGAGAGAAACAAACTGTTCAAATTAAGCAGATTTGGTTTAATTCTATTAACTGAATGGAAAATCAGAAGCCTGGGAATTCAGTAATGTTTTTCTATAAGGTACATATACCTAAAGATCTAGGGCAAAACCAGCTTTGCCATGTTGTGACTAGAGCAGGTAACAGCTCCAACACTTGAAATTGTAGGACTGTTATACTCTACGAATACAGTTGGTTGTTTTATAAGGTGAGTTTCTATTTGTGATATTTTACAGAAATACTACATTACTGGAATTCAACTACTAGAAAACAATGAGGAAGATGAAAAATGTGAAAATTTTACATAAATGTTTGTAATATTTAATTCATTTAAATAAAATACAGTTGAAGCCATGTCTTATATGTCTTCAAATCTAATCTGTTGACGTTTGTCCTTAATAACTTGCTGTATACAGGATTTTGGTAGAGCATATCACTTTTCAGACTTTTATTAAGCTAGAGAGTAAGCTACTGTAAGACTCCGTATGT